TTATTAAATGAAATGATAATCGTGACGAGATATAAATATTGTAGAATAAGAGATACAAGTCGAATATAGTTGTTGGATCTATACAAGTTCTGAGGCAGCTCTCGGAGGATACTCGTAAAGTCTGTAATAGTCTACGACCTTTCCATTTAGGTTATTTTCACCTTCAATTGGAAGAAGAAAAACATTTCGTAAACGAATATCACCCAAAAACCAAAAATCCAACCAGTTCTGTTTCCATCCATAGTCCGTCGGAATTGTTAAGCTGTTTAACGACTGGTATGAGTTTGAGGTTGCCGAGCTTTTGTTAAACAAAGAAGCTATGGAAAGCTTCATAGTCAATATAAATTGATCTATGCCTAGCAACCTGCAACAAGTTACTATTTCTGACCGTTGGCTCAAACTAGACGAAGGTGTCTCTGGCTGGTTCAAAGGAAAATCTCTCGGTAGCGTAGAATGATTGTGGTTCTTTTGATGCATAAAGTCATTCAAATTGATAAACTCCCAAGAGGTAACCCCCTTCAATATTTGAAATGTCTGGACTACAGATAAAAAAAATATCCAGACGTACTGCAAGAGACACCATGCCATCACATTGAAATGAAACGAGTTGTTTCTGTATGCATAGCAGAGCTCATCAGATAAAAAAGTGCATTCAACTTCCTCATTATCACTATCGTATGCATCGGCTAGTTGATCGAATAACTTCATGGATAAGTAAGTAAAAAATAAAATGGCAAGACTCAAGGAATAAACGAACGTCACAAACAACTTGTGATTCCTCACTCCAATTTCATTGTATACCCACGGACACATATGATCAAATCTAGCCACCAATTTGTTGGATGCTTTGGAGTATTTTGATCTTAAAGGTTTACGATTAAAAGTATTCACACAGAAGTGATCTGTGTCAAATTTTCCTACGCCCATTAAATCCTTAATCTTTTGGTATATAATAGCATTATCTGACGGAGTGGGGACATAGCCAGGATTGATGAACATGGTTTTAATAAATGACCAAGTAAATGAAGCAATAAGTCCACCTAATATCAAATTCGCAAAGAAATGCTTAATGAACAAATTGGGCAATATGGCATAAAGCCAAACTATTACAGCCCAAAAAGCAGTTCCCGAAAACACACCTGCCAATAATGGTGATTTTGGTATTGCCTTGTTTTCAATCAAGTAAGTAGGAATAATAAATTTCCCTAATACGCTGATTGAACCAAAGAAAATTATGAAAGCGAAGAATAACTTAGGTATGAAAAAACCTTTTCCAAGTGAGCACACAGAGAAACAAATAGGTAACGTAACATACGGTGTGAAAAAAGTAATTAATTTTCCCATTTTTGGATCAAGGAATGGGCGCTTCACTGCCCAGTTATTTTTTGGACTCCTCCGACATTCGTACAAAACTTTTGTCCAGGTATCGTAACAGTTCATATCTTTAGCGACTTCGAATGAATCCTTTCCCTGATCATTTTTGGCTAAGATGTCAGACCCAGCTTCTACTAGGGCCTTGAGAACAGCTTTGTATCCTCTCATAAATGCCCAATGAAGAGGGAGGAATAAAGAATTATCAACCTTGCTGACGTCTGCACCAAACCTTAATAATGCATTTACCGAATAAATGTCACCCTGATAAGCTGCCCAATGCAAGCTAGTTCTATTGAAATCGTCAGGTTCGTCAACATATATCGCTTTATTGGAATGAGCGTCGCAGCATGTAAATAGAATGTAGATGACTAATGTAATGTTCGAACTATGAACTGCCAAATGAAGAGCATTATAAGACTGTGAGTCTCTTATTGTGGGATCTGCATCGGCATTCGTGATCAAATAGTCCACAATGTATACTAACCCATTGCGACAAGCCCAATGCAATGGCGTTGCCTTTAAATCGCCACCTAATGCATTCGAATCCGCTTGCGAATATTCATTTTCATTCAAATACTTTACGATACTCAACCGATTATTAATTGCTGCCCAATGAAGACCAGTTATGCCGTCACTGAATGTGTTATCTGCTAAAACTCTTTTCGAAGAGATCAATTCTTGTACTATAATCAAGTTACCTTCTTGACACGCTGCCATAAAACTCGCCAAATCGGGATTAAGCTGTTGTTCAGTTACATCTCCTTTATTGTTTCCAGAGACACCATTGAGGTCGTCCTTGTCAGTTTCTAATACAGCCTCTGTAGACTTGATAGAATACGTTTCTTCATCCTCATTTTTTGTCAACTCTTTCAATTCAAAAGCCTCTGAGTTGGAGCTAGTCGACGCAGTATTTTCAATTATTTCACTCTTTGCTACAGCCGTGGTTTCTGTTTCGAACGAATCGTTTTCCTCTTGAGGGCTGCTGGTGAACGAGTCATCAGTCATCTTGATCTAATATTTTAGTTTCAAATGATATATTTGGCTATTAAAATTTCCCAATTAAAGAAACGTAAGTTGGCTGCGGATACAGCAGTCTTTCTAACAACCCTTGGATCTTGTGTGCCTCTACTTGCAATCGCAACAAAGTATTTGTCTGTATTGTAGTCTGCAGAGAGCTATAACATCCAGTGAGTATTTCATCAAATCTTTCCTGTATATTGTACTGTAGATCATCTAAGTCACTGCAAAATATAATAATAGAGGCTGAAGATGTCTTTCACTATGAGATGAGTCTCAGTACAGGTTTATGCAATAAATGACATGAATAAAATTAAAAATAATACGTAACTACAAAGAGTATCTTTATCTCTGTAATGGTGTAGGTTTGGAGCCGTCCATGAGCGACGATGACGTCGTAAATGAGGTCGCTCCAGTGCTTGCTGATGAAGCGAAGCTCGTGTCCTTTTCACTATCTGAGCCAGATCCTTGTGACTTAGTCGCACTAGAATGTGCGTGGTTCGCAATGAATTCCTTGATACTTTCACCAGTCTTTGCTGCAGCTGGTAACACTTTCTTCTCCATCAAAGGTTGCACCTTTTCATTGATGAAGCCTGGTCTGACTTCATCTGCTTCAATGAGACCTAGATTTTTCTGGCCAACCCTTTCCAAATGCTTTTCCAAGACTAAGTAATTCCTCAGGTTCGCTTTGTATCCAAGAACAATTAAGTCCCCAACAATTGGGATTAAACCTAGTAAGAAGTCAATCAAAACGTTAATTATGAAAATAAGTTGTATGTCGAGAGGTAAACCCTCGTCGAGAGTCCTTGCTAATTGCAACAACGTTATGGACCAATAAATATTCACCAACTGCCCGAGAATAGGAACGAGGCCAATTATATTGGCCCAGCCAAATTTTACACCGGCAAAACTGAACCACATGTCGTACCTATACGCTCTTTTTCGAAATTTAGATAAGACGTCTAAATCCTTCGAGCATAAACCATCTGGAATTCTTCTTTGAACCTTTCTGTATTTGGGATGGTCCCCTTGAGCCACTAATACATGCTCGTAATATGGATCTTCCATCCCCAATCTATTCCACTGGTTATCTTTCAAGAGCCTATTTGTCACAAATTTGATAACGGCAGACGACATCCTTGCAACTTTATTCCACTAAATAATACTTCCCTTGCAAATGTTTATTTTTCCAAACCCAAGTGTGAAGGAATAAAAGCTATTTTTGAAATCTTTAAACGTTTACCTTTAACAGCAATAGAATCACTATATATATTTAAATGAATGAGACCCTAAGCAATCGTTCCAGGTTGGGACCGTTTTAGGATGCAAACCAAAATAGTTGCTCATGTGACCAAATATGAAAATTCAGCCTTTAAATATTTCTATCATTCTCATCCAATTCTATAGAGGATATTCAGCAAATGACATGGTAGTTAGGGATTTAGTAAGTTCTATAGCTCGGAAGCTCCCATATTCAAGCTCGATCCCAGGATTTATATGGGAGGCTCTAGATAGTTCAAAGGTCGAGAAAGAAGAGAAAGCGGAATCGTTTGAGGATGCCAGGGACAAGATACACAGTAGAATTTTGAGAATGCGGCTCCATAATGCAGAGGAGGAAGATGAGAGCACTTTGGTCACTTCAGCAAGTGTTGATGGAGATCATTCGGGGAATAAGGACTTTGATTCACAGGTAGACTTTAAGGATGTAAGAGTAAGACAGTACTTGAATGAACAGAATAATAAGTTTAACGAACTCATCAACAATAACTTTGATGCTTACTTGAAACAACAGCGATTCAATGAGGTAGAAAGGTACGAAGAGAGTATAAAAATTCCATTAATTAAGATGAAAAATAAATTGTGGTCGTTCGCTAAGGGAAAACGGAGTCCAGAAATACGACATTTTGAAGATGTTGATTGTCCCAGCCTTTTGGATGGTTCTACAACTCACGTAGAATCTTTTTTGGCTTCTCTTGATGCTCCTACGAAAAAGTCGCTCTATGCTGCTCTCGTGAAGGAGATAGGTGATCCTGAAAATTACCAATCTCGCAATGAACATGCTTCAAATAAGATTGAGGCTATTATGATCTTGATGGTAAAGTTGTTGTTTGTTTTCTTGAAACTTGCTGTCCCGACAATGCATTATGTCTACATGAAGGCATTGAATAACGAAATGTTCATCATTAACGAACGCAATCTCAATAAGTTCTTATCTTATACACTTTGGTTATTACAAAAAGTCGAAAAGAAGCTGCATCATGATACACTGCCAGCAGCTGGTGAAAGAGCAGGTCTCGATGTTATGTACTACCAAGTTGCCGCGGATACTAAGTCTTTCATCCGTTCTAACTTCAACAACCCTCTAGTTGATTACATGTTGCTTAAATTTGCGCCTGAAACGACCCCGAAATATTACAGCAATCCCAACTACGCTCAGTATTTTGCACCCTCCTCTAGCGATAGTGAAAGTTCGCAGTCCAGCGCTGCAGCCAGCAATAACTCTAGCGTTCAGGAGACCTCACTATTTCTGGCGGCCAAGCAATTTCTTGACCAAATGGACCCCTGATTTGTATGTTTCAAATTGCGCTCCTGTTAATACAGTCTTCCACAATGTTCTACAACTCCTATTTTAGGGCGGGTAATATATATTTGTAGTGTTACCCTGCCCATGCCCCTATAGTAATGTGCATACGGTATCCCGGACAATGTCGACACCAGATGACCGCGCACAATAAATTAATCCAATTTCCGGATTTTTCACTACATCACTCTTACATTCTGCTTAAAGAAAAGTGGTCAGGATTTTTTAATTCGCCTCCTCTTTTATTTCCATCCCCCTACTTGGTTGTCTTCTCAGTATAGTGGTGGCGCTAAATTAGACCGTACACTTGGGAAACGATACATAGCGGTAGCTGAAGATCCAAAGAGACACTTCAACTCATTAGACGAAGTTTTACAGTCACCTCAAGACTGGAAATAATCGAAGAGCATTTAGAGTTCTGCTGGTTTAAAAGGTTGAATTCTGGACGCTGATTGGTCAAGGCAACAGAAAGAGACAGCAAAGCAAAAAAGAAAAAGAGGTTTTTGCGCGCTAAAGTTACACAAAGGCCTAGTCTTTTTTAACGGGATAAAACCCACTACACCATATTCACGTCCACACATCTGCATTTTCACAAAATGGCATTATGCTCACGTGTGTTGAACAACAGCAAGAGAAGCTGTGAGTTTGACAATGGAGCTTCCTGCTCCAAGCGCAGAATGATCTATTCTGTGAATCCTGCGTTGTATTCATCATCGGAGAGCGAAGATTCAGAAGACGAACAGTCATGCTACAGAGCTGAACAAGCGAGGGCTAAAAGAAGAGCGTCGTCTAGAGTTTCGTTTTCATTGAATTCAGAGTTATCGCGCGCGGTATCGAAGTATAGCGATGACGAATCTTCTGCAGGAGTTAATGAAACTAATGAAAATATTGACTGCAAATTATCGAGCTGTCAAGGCTCGAAGTTTTTACCTATCTCAGAGGCTACTAGCTGTGCTGGAGCCAAGAAGATAGTGTCTGACCTGGACAGGGAATCGAGGTCTCGTTGCTTTGAATATTTGGTCGGAGCAATTGACGAGGCTTGGGCTAGATATTGCAATGCGACCACATCTGTTGAAGATGAAGTATACGGATATGATACACCTGTTTCGGTTGTGACTGATGATGACGATTACTTTGACAATTCGACTGACTTTACGGACTACGACTCAGATTTTGGTTTAGCTGATGGAAAAACGACTACATCGACGTCCAAAGGTGCGGTATCGTCAGGAAAAGCATCCATCGATTCTAAAGACGAATCTTCGCATCAGTTACAAGCACTCAAGGATCGTTTGACAAAAGCCAAATACTTCTTGCAGGATTTAGTTGATTCAGATGATTTTAACGAAGTCACATCATTTTGGAAGCGTTGGGACATGATCAAATATGCCACCATTGAATTAGTTGAAGATGATGATGATGACGAAATCGTTGAATCAACTATTGAGGAATTAGAAGAGGGTAGATTGTTTTTGAAATAGGTTTTTTTTCTTTGACGCAACATTCTCATCTACTGGTCTACAAAAAAAAAAATATTAAGAGTAAATGAAGTTGAAAAAGTCTCAACTTTTCCCATCTTATTTCCTTTTTAATGGGGTTTCAATTCTAATCGATTACAATAGGGTATGAATTTATGTAATTTATGGAATGAGTTTATAGGTTTTAATTATATACTTGTATAATAGATTAAAATGGTATTTATAAGTTGTTCTGTACTGTATGGTGATGACTAACAAAATACAGTTTGCAGTTTGTATTTGGTGTGCATATACATCATCAGCAACCTCGTACTTGGTTCCTAAGCACGGGCCCTATTTAATCATACGTTTAGTTTAAATCCTTGTCCCGTATATTACTTTATTACATCAATTATAATGTCTCGAAGGCTCAATTTCCATAAGGCATTAGCTGACTTTCTAAAGTCACCTCGTGATATCGATATCATTTACAGATCATCAGCTAGCTTCGTGGAGTCAAAAACAAGTGGTATTTGTGTGTTAGATTCGTCTTTCAATCCTCCTCATTTGGGACATTATGCTCTAATAAAAGAGGCAATGAGACATTTTCAAAGCATTGGAGATCTTGAAAAGGAAAAATCAGTCTTGCTCTTACTTTCTGTCAAGAATGCGGATAAGGTTAACCCTCAGCCAGAACCATTTGATAAAAGACTCGAAATGATGTTCCATATGGCTAACTATTTGCAGAAAAGCTTGGGTCTTAAAATTGGGATTGCTTTAACGAAGCATGCGAGATTTGTTGATAAATCAATTGCAATATTGGATTATTTAAGAAAAGAATATAAAGTTTCAACCATTAAATTGACTTTCTTGGTGGGATTTGATACCTTGGTACGAATTTTAGATCCTAAATACTATTTACCAGACAAATTGACGACTTCTTTGGAAGATTTCATGAACTCGGCTGACTTATTTTGCCTCACAAGAAACGTTACTTCCTTTTCCTTAAAGGATCAATCGACTTACCTTGATGACATTAACCAAGGTAAATTTCTGCATATACCAGCCCACTGGTCTGATAGTATAGTTTTTCCTGAACATGCAGATCAAGGTGTGAGTTTAATTAGTTCATCTTCCATTAGGAAGAATATAAGAGACGGTAAAAGTGATTGGATTAATGATGTAATACCTGAAATCAAAGATATGATAATTGATGAGAACTTATACAAATCCTAAATAGCGTTTATGTTAACGAAATTAATGATAAGAAAATAAAAACGACGTAATCGATTTTGATTTTAGAAATAAAACTTGAGGCATGGGAACGGTACTTAACGTCATATTGCAGGTCAGAGTTGGTTGATTCATAATCGTCTATATCGTCAATTGAACCACCATCGGTTGGTGTATTTGCCACGATTTTTTCATTGTTAGCATTAGTACATTCGATCTTGCCTCCTCTAATGACAGCACTAATTTCACTTCTTGACCACTTCGTACAATCAAAAGTTTTGTCCGTCGATTTAATTTTGGCACTTCCCTTGACTAACTTTAATTGTTTCATTGTGGTCTCCTTAATGCTTCCTACTAACTCTATTGCACCACCAATCGTGCTCAACTTCGGGAGGAAATTTATTTTGTCAATTTTATTATTGTTCACAATCATCAATCCTCCTCCAATAGTACTAACTGTAGGAAGTTCTATTTCATTCACTTTATCATTTTTCAGGATACTCAATGTTCCTCCAATTGATTTAAGTTTTGGAAGCTTCAACAGGCCGAAATGATTATTGATGAAGCTGACTGAATTATCGATCTCCTCTAATCCACCAAAATCAATTTGTTGAACATCATGGATGCTCATATTGTTGGCCACCCTTAGCAGTGGAAGCGATACAGTGACATCATCAGCATTGGCTGCAATGTGTAATTTACTTGTTATCCTTGCAACGCTAGAATTGATGCTATCGAGAAATCTATTGTTATTGATGTCCAAAATCTCTAATGTGTCAGATGAGAATCCAGAAAACCCTGTCAATGAAGTGTCAGATACTGTAATACTTTCAAGATCTTTAATATCATCCCCAAATTCCACACTGCTCAAAATGGGCAAGACTTGCCAATCAAGTTTTTTTGTTGATTTTAAGGCAGGGAATGACACCAATGATAAGGATGTGAGTCTTTTCAACTCAAAGTTTTTAGAAATCGAAATAGCATTTGGTGCCTCGATTCTAATCAACTCGGGAGAATTAGTGACGATAAAGTTTCCTAAAATGTACTTAGTGTCTTCCAAAATCAAAAATGGTTCCTTGTAATCAGTCACTTTGACGTCACCAACAATTATTTCGCACCCATTAATAGAGGAAACGTCCCCTTGTGTTTTGAATTCAAATGTATCCTTCTTGCAATGAGAGGGAATAGAGTCAAGAGAAAAGGTCGGCTTGACATCGGTTTTTTCATCTGAACCTTCTTTGTCGTTCTTCTTCTCTTTTTCGTCATTTTTCTTTTCTTTATCGTCATTTTTCTTCTCTTTTTCATCCTTTTTCTTCTCATCGGGCTTACTTAACTTCTTCTCTTCCTTCGCTTCATTGTTCTGTTTACCTTTAAAAGTTTTTGAGGGTAGATTTTCAGTTTTGGTTCCAAGGTGAAAATTTGAGTGTCCATATCTTCTGTTAGCACGTTGCAAAATGGGCCTATATGACATCTCCAGTGACTTAAGATAATCTGTTTTTAAAGCGTTAGTATTGATTTGGTACCCAGGTCAAATAAAAAAAACATACCGTTGTCAGCGACCAGGTTGTCGCTATAATCATTCGCAGCCAAAACGGCCGTTGATCCAGCAAAAAGTGTAGTAGAAAGAATAATTGAAATAAAGCTTTTAGCAAGCATAGTGGGCATTCGCTTATAGTCTTGAAAGTTTCTTAGCTTGTTTCGAGTGGAAAGAGCACGTACTTATATAATGGCCGCAAATATGTTAAGCTGCCACAGACACAATCTTTATTTAGCAGATTTTATGCTATGTTCATGATTTTGCATCCATTGAATGACTATTTGCGACAACTGACCAAAGACACAAAAAGTATGACAATTAACTCTTTGTGGATTCAGTCATTTATCTGACCATTATTTTGTTATCATTATGACCCTTATATAACACATATTTCTGTACCTTTTTGCAATAACTAAAAAAAAATTACCAATGTCATTTTATTCAGATGGATCTTAGTATATCACTCCCCGATTAGACTCTACAGAAGTATCTAACTCTTTAACTTGAATTAAGACTAGCGATAAGGTCTAAATATCAGTTCTGTCTCAGTACAACTTTGTGCACAAGAACATCATATGCCCTGAAAAAGATCCTTATTCCGTCAAAAGTTCTTTCAAACCTCTGAAACTGACTACAGCTTATAGTGCTACGAACAAAAATCCACATTTTCGCCATGTTAGGAGAGTATATTTAGGATAAGTATCAGATTCCGATCTCCAGACCTACATCTGCAGGAAAGTATAGACAAAGCTCTCAGGAACTAGAACACAAGTATCATTTCAAGAATAATCTCAACTATATATACTACGATACTACGACTATACTGAAAGAACAGCTCTTCTATATTATATTCGAATAGCTTAATCCAGATTTGTATCCCCAATTTGTCTTTCGATCACTCTTATAATGGATCAATAGATTTTGAAAAAAAATAAAAATTCTCATCATGAGAAGAGCATCGATTTTTTTCAAATACACACTCTTATTTTTATTACAGTTTTAAACATCACCAGCTAATATATTCATTAAGGTGAATATTGAGAAGCAGGAAAGATGAAGAACAGTATATGCATCAACTTGAGGGAATGTGATAATCTTATGGAATTATATAAGACCACATTTCCTCAAAAATTACCCGTTGCACAATTTGTGATTGATACTTCTTTAACTGTCAAAGAGAATCTAAACAGATTAGCGCTATATGGATTACATCCTACGACTACACCTGTTGTTGCATTTGCATACAGAGATATAATACTTGATATTGTTGCAAGGTGGATAAGCTTTCCAAAGGAATTTGAGGAACAATATAGAAGAAACTATACCGATGAGGAATGGAACAATGTTATCCCAGGTTCAATCATTTTACTCGCTTTATCCAGATTAATAGGTTGTTGCGATGAGTGTATCAGTTTAACAGAGTTCTATGTTACAAAAATCAACTTTTTTGAAAAGTTAAGATCATTGTCGGAATCGAAAGGAATCATATCACATATTGAATTAGAGCACATTTTATTGGCATTTTATAGATTGGTCAACCACAATCATCTTACTTTTTCCAAATATGTTGATACACGTGTTCTCTATGGCATTCTCGAAATGAAGGAGAGTACCTATGGCGTCTCGAAGTATCTTGCAATCCAAATCTTATCAGTATATCTAGGTGCTTCGGAAACTTCCCGGATAAAGATGAGTCAAAATTATCTATCCTCAAAAGATACTTTAGTATCATCTTACGAAACGGATAAGGGTGTTGATTATGGGACCTTAGAAGTTCTTGAAGCAAAAAGGTTATCCAATTTTACTAAGTTATTTGACAACAAGAATACTGCACAAGTTGACTCAAAATTTAATATGATAATTGAACCAGAGGACCTCAACCCCATGGTTATATGTGTATTCGGGATACTAATACCTGATGTGATTGGAAAGTCACTCCAGCAGACCACAGCCGATGATTTCATCGCTACAGAGAAAGCAGTGACTGCTTTGAGAAAACTTGCAAAATGTATTCAACATAACTCACCAATTTTATTGCATGGAAAGCCTGGATCGGGCAAGACATTTTTAATAAATCAGTTAGCAAAATTTATGTCTTACAAAGACCGTATCGTGAAGATTCACTTGGGGGAGCAAACAGATGCTAAGCTATTGTTAGGAACCTACGCCTCAGGTGAGAAACCTGGCACCTTTGAGTGGAGAGCAGGCGTTCTTACAACGGCAGCAAAAGAAGGAAAATGGGTATTGGTAGAGGATATTGATAGGGCTCCTACGGAAGTATTGTCTGTTTTGTTGACTCTATTAGAGAAGAGAGAACTTGTGATACCTTCCCGCGGGGACACAATCAGGGCTAAGAATGGTTTTCAAATCATTGCTACTATCAGAACCTCTTCTGATTCTGTGCAACATATTCCAGACATGATAGGTGTGAGGTTATGGAAGCTTATAGAGCTCGAAGAGCCAGACGACAGAGACTTGAAGAACATTCTTACGACAAAGTTTCCATTACTTTCAAGGCTCATAGATCCCTTTATCAAATGCTACAATTCCATTGTGAAGATATACTCCCTGTCCTCATTTATATCCTTAAATAAGGGATCGCATCCTCGTATAATATCTTTCAGAGATGTAATTAAGCTTTGTTCTCGCTGCAACCAGATGCTCGAGAGAGAAGGTGTCACTATAGAGACTCCGTTGTTTGAATCATATATATTTCAGAATATTTTTGCAGAGGCTGTGGATTGCTTTGGAAGCTCTATTACTGAATATAAAGCGTTAGAACCGGTTATACAAGCAATCGGTGCATCATTAGAGATACCTCACTCTCAGGTTAAATACTTCATGAACCTGCACGTTCCTCAAATGTTAAATGATGGTGACAGGTTTATAGTTGGTCGGGCATCCTTACAGAAGTCAATTTCGGATAAACTATTCAACAAAAAAGTGACGGGTAGTAATACCTCTTTTGCAAAAACAAAGCATTCACTCAAATTAATGGAACAGCTCGGAGTTTCTGTGTTAATGGCAGAGCCAGTGCTACTTGTCGGTGAAACAGGTACAGGTAAGACAACTGTAGTTCAACAACTTGCAAAAACGATGAATAAAAAGCTTACCGTAATAAACGTATCTCAACAAACGGAGTCGGGAGATTTATTAGGAGGTTACAAGCCTGTTAGTACTAGAACTGCTGCATTACCTCTTCAGGAAACTTTTGAGACTTTGTTCATTGCAACATTTTCGAAAAAGAGAAATGAGAGGTTCTCTCAAAGTTTATCTAAATGCTTTAATAAGAGCCAGTGGAAGAATGTTGTCAAGCTATGGAAGGCAGCTTTAGAAATGGCAAAAGATGTTTTAAAAGACAACGTCTCCAATGTAGATGACTCTGAGGGTCCTCGAAAGAAGCGTAAGTTGAGATCAGAAGAAAAATCCCTCCTTATGCAAAAGTGGGCAGAATTTGAGAAGAGTGCAGATGATTTCGAGCTTCACTCCTCATTACTTGATAACTCGTTTGTCTTCAATTTTGTAGAAGGGTCGCTCGTAAAAGCTGTCAAAAATGGTGATTGGCTTTTGTTGGATGAAATCAATTTGGCATCTTCTGACACGTTGGAGAGCATTGCTGACTTATTGTCGGATTCGATTGATGAAAGATCGATTTTACTTAGTGAAAGAGGTGATATCGAGTCTATTAAGTGTCATCCAGAATTTAGAATATTTGGATGTATGAATCCATCAACAGATATCGGTAAGCGCGATCTTCCATCCAGTATTCGTTCCAGATTCAGTGAAATTTACGTTCATTCTCCAGATAGAGATATACAAGACTTACTCGCAATTATTGACCGATATATCCACCGATTTGCCTTGACAGATGAATGGGTTGGTCAAGATATTGCAGAGCTATACATGGAGGCTAAAGAGTTAGCAAATTCAAAAAGTATCGTGGATGGAGCAAATCAGACTCCACATTTCAGTATTAGAACTTTGACTAGAACCTTGATCTATGTGTGCGATATAGCTCAGGTGTATGGTATCAGGAGAGCATTATACGAAGGATTTTGCATGTCGTTCTTAACACTCTTGGACTTGAAGTCTGAGCAAATTCTTCGTCCAGTAATTGTAAAATATACTATTGGCAAATTAAAGAATTCAAAATCAGTGATGAACCAATGTCCACCTGCTCCAAAATCTAATACTGAGCATTACGTTCAGTTTAGACATTACTGGTTAAAACAAGGTCCTATTGAATTAATACCCCAAGACCATTACATTATTACTCCGTTTGTTGAGAAAAACTTGCTAAATTTGGTTAGAGCAATTGCTGGAAGGAGGTTCCCAGTTTTGATCCAAGGACCAACTTCTGCTGGTAAGACATCGATGATTAACTACTTGGCTAACATTACTGGTCACAAGTTTGTTCGTATCAATAACCATGAGCATACAGATTTACAAGAATATCTCGGAACTTATATTTCTGATTCCACAGGTAAGTTAGTTTTTAAGGAGGGTATATTAGTAAGGGCCTTGAGGGAAGGACATTGGATCGTTCTAGACGAATTAAACTTGGCCCCGACAGATGTTTTGGAAGCATTGAACCGTTTACTTGATGATAATAGAGAATTATTCATTCCCGAAACACAGGAAGTTGTCCATCCGCATCCCGACTTTATGCTATTTGCAACTCAGAATCCACCTGGGATCTATGGTGGAAGAAAGATACTTTCAAGAGCTTTCCGTAATAGATTTTTAGAGTTACATTTCGATGATATTCCCCAAGATGAACTAGAAATTATTTTGAGGGAACGATGCAAGATTGCACCGTCATATGCAAAGAAGATCGTTGAGGTTTACCACGAATTGTCAGTCCAAAGACAATCCACTAGATTATTCGAACAAAGAAACTCTTTTGCAACCTTGAGAGATTTATTTAGATGGGCTTTTAGAGAAGCTATAGGCTACGAAGAGTTAGCGGCAAATGGATATATGCTACTTGCGGAAAGAGTAAGGAAAGTCAATGAGAAGGGTATCGTTAAAGACATCATCGAGAAAGTGATGAGAGTTAAGTTGGATATGGAAGCATACTACGAGAAGTTGGAGGACAAATCTCTTTTTAACGAATCATCAATAATTTGGACAAGGGCTATGCGCCGTCTCGCGGTTCTTGTTTCTACCAGTATCAAATATAATGAGCCTATTTTATTAGTAGGAGAAACTGGATGTGGTAAAACGACTGTTTGTCAAGTGCTAGCAAAAAGACTTGGAAAAGATCTTTCAGTGGTTAATGCGCATCAAAATACCGAGACTAGTGATATTTTAGGTGCTCAGAGACCAGTGCGTAATAGATATGAGGTACAGGGTAGACTTCTTAACAACTTAATCAAGGTGTTAAGTGATGAAGGCATCGAACTCCCTTTGAATGAAGTAAGATTGGACGAATTGATAAAACGGTACGATTCCTTGGAAAAAATTTCAGAAGCCGACCAAAGTCTTCGTGATGAAATAGATTTTGATAGGAAGCGTTGCTCCGCATTGTTTGAATGGAACGACGGTCCCTTGACGCAAGCTATGAAGAAAGGAAACTTTTTTCTCCTTGACGAAATATCTTTAGCAGATGATTCGGTGTTGGAGAGATTTAATTCCGTATTGGAGCCTGAAAGAAGCTTATTGTTAGCTGAAAAGGGTCTGGATGATTCTTTCATAGTGGCAAATAAAGGCTTTGAGTTCTTCGCTACAATGAACCCTGGAGGTGACTATGGTAAGAAAGAACTTTCTGCTGCATTGAGGAATAGGTTCACGGAGATCTGGGTACCTTCGATGGATGATTTCGACGACGTTAGACAAATAGTTAGCTCCAAATTGGATTCTGATTCGCCTTCGTTATGTGATTCCATAGTCTCATTCTCAGAGTGGTTTGGAAATAGATTTGGAGGAGGTAAAGCTGATAGTGGAGTTATATCTCTTCGAGACATCTTGGCTTGGATCGATTTCATTAATATTATGTTAAATCATATGAGTGCAGAGGAAGCTTTTCTCCAAGGAGCTTGTATGGTGTTTGTCGATGCTTTAGGAACTAATAATACTGCATTTTTGGCAGAAAATGAAACACGATTGAATGAAAATAAACGAGAATGTATTTCAAGACTTTCAGAAACTATGGGGAAAGATTTATTTCCATTTTTTGATCAAAATGTTGAGGTGCGCCTTGATGATGTCAAGCTTACATGTGGAGCCTTTTCAATTGCACGTAGAGCTTCTTTAGTAAGTGAATCTTTCAATTTAGAGGCACCAACGACTGCTAAGAATGCAATGCGAGTCATTAGAGCTATGCAAGTCTCTAAGCCTATCTTGTTGGAAGGCAGTCCTGGTGTAGGAAAGACTAGTTTAATCTCAGCTTTGGGAAAATTGAGTGGTAACCCGTTGGTTAGAATAAATTTATCAGAGCAAACTGATTTGGTTGATCTTTTTGGATCAGATGCACCTTCTGAAGGTGGAAAGACAGGCGAGTTTGTTTGGCGTGATGCACCATTTTTGAGGGCAATGCAAAAGGGAGAATGGGTTCTATTAGATGAAATGAATTTAGCTTCTCAGTCAGTTTTAGAAGGACTTAATGCTTGTTTAGACCACAGAGGACAAGCTTACATACCAGAGTTAGATAGGTCCTTCTATCGGCATCCTGAATTTAAAGTATTCGCGGCCCAGAATCCACAATACCAAGGAGGAGGAAGGAAAGGGCTTCCAAAGTCCTTCATTAACCGTTTCACGGTGGTCTACGTAGATGTATTGAAATCTAATGATTTGGACCTAATTTCTCAACATTTATATCCGAAGATCAATGATGAGGTTCGAACTAAAATAATATCTTTCATATCCAAATTAGAAAGTGAGGTTGTAATTGAGAGAAATTGGGGATCATCCGGGGGACCCTGGGAGTTCAATTTACGTGATACATTGCGTTGGTTAGAGTTATTAAATTCTTCGTTCTGTCAAAGTCCAGTTGATCCTAGTGAGTTCCTAAGCCTTATTGCAAGCCAAAGATTCAGAACTTCAGATGACAGAAAGAAAGTAAATGATTTATTTGAATCAGTTTTTGGAAAAAGGAACCCGAAAGATACCTATTTTAACCTCGGAAGTGAATTTGTTCAAGCTGGAAACGCAATAATGAAGAGAAAAGTTGTTCAGCATCACCTAAGTGGGACCAATATCTTGCCTTTGCAATGCAACTATCAAATATTGGAATCTGCAATAAGATGTGTAAATCATAAATTACCCTTGCTTATTACAGGTCCCTCGAATTCGGGGAAAACGCAATTGATAAGGTACTTAGCAAACGTAGTAGGTGCTCAGGTGGATGAATTTGCGATGAACAATGACGTGGATTCGATGGATATTCTTGGTGGATATGAACAAGTAGATCTTTTTAAGGCCGTTGGAGGATTTATTTCGAAAGCTCGCGAACAAATGTCTTATTGGATGCTAGAGAAACTAGGAAGTGTTAATGCTGCTGACATAGAGCCACTCGCCACTGTCTTAGAGGTGTTTACGTTTATTGACTCACACGAAATTAACTTATCAAATTTCAAAGAATTTCAGGACTTCATAGAATCGCGTCTTTATCAGATTTCAGAGTTTAAAGGATTACTCGAATCTAGTGCTTTTATAGGCAAAAAGCTTCAAAAACAAAGTAGTGTTCGCTTCGAATGGTTTGACGGTCTTCTTGTCCAAGCGGTTGAAAAAGGTAATTGGTTGATTTTGGACAACGCTAATTTATGTAACCCATCAGTTCTTGATAGATTGAATTCCTTATTGGAGACTGATGGCGTTCTCACTATTAATGAATGCAGTTCTGAAGATGGTCTGCCTAGAGTGATTAAGCCTCATCCCAATTTCAGATTATTCTTGACTGCGGACCCTAAATATGGCGAGCTTTCAAGAGCAATGCGTAACAGAGCCGTTGAAATATATATCGACAAAACTGATGAAAGAGCAACCTTTTGGGACCATAAACTTCTCGGTCTTTATGGAAATGGTGCGAACAGCTGTGAGAAGCCAATGACAGCATTTATTGCACTGAATAACTCACTTGTGAGACAATTTGCTGTTTTCAACGACTCAATTGAGCAATATAGATACAAAAACGTTAAGAATATGGAGAAGCTTACTAGCGCCCTTTTGAGTATCTCTTCATTTGTTACGTTAAGAGAACTCGAGAACTGGAATGATGTGTTCACTTCATCAAATGAATTTGATGATAAGTCAAAATATTGTTTCTCCAGTATTTCGAGCAAGCTCCAATTAATGATCAAATTAGATATTCTCTCGTATTTTGTTCAGATTTACGACGAGCTTTCGCTTGAAAAGGTTTGCACTGGCTACGACCAGTTCCAATCTATCCATCCTCTTATTAATCCGTTGGCTATTACTTTGATTCTGGATGGCTCACCTTTAAAATCTTCTGAGCCAACTTACGCTATTGAGAATCTCGAAAGAATTCAAAATACATCGAATAAAATTTTGCGTTTGGAAGAAAGGGCTGTTACTGGGAAACTTAATGAATTGTCATACACAGAGAGATCAGCGGCCGTTAATTTAGGAAGGAACATTAAGAGACCTCCCAGGTTTGACGTGTACAAACTAATCAAATGTGCCAGTGAATTCGTTGTTAAATTTTTCGAACAGTATTTTCATGAACAACCTTTCAAAAGACATGGTATCTTTAAGTCATTACATGATTTACAGATACTTTTGGTATGCTTATTGAAAACATCAAATAGTAGTAGTGAACCTAAGATTAGAGTATTTAAAGATCTAATGACTGATTGGGCAGAGCACCAAGTCCAGGGTAAATTAACTACATCTTATTTAGCTGATCTTGAATCCTTTGGGAAAGAATTATTATTATCCACTGGAAATTCGATGGGTATTATATGGGAAACTTTCAGATCTCAATACCCACAGTCTCAAAGATCATGGGATAACTGTATCATGTTGATAAACTTGGCAGGAGAGCTTGATAAGGTCGTGAGTTTGCAATTTCACGAGGTAAGTAATGAAATTCTTGACTTGAGAAACTTGATCTGTCAATACTACAATGGCATCATATCTGGTGAAGTTACAACCCAGGAATTCAATACATTCTTCAATAGTTTGAGTGATGGTATAGATAGACTAAAGAGAATATCAGGATCGTTTCTATGTGTTCGCCAAAATATTCTCAAGAAAGAATTTGCTTTGCTCTGTAATTTTATGGAGACATCGATGATTTCTAAGTTTGAGCTAGACTCAGAAAAATTATCTAAATTAGCAGTTTTAACAGACAGGCACACCATGAGCTTAACAAGGCTAAAAAATAAGAAAATATTCGCTCCTTACCCAACAATCCTTGATAATTTATGGGAACATCTGGTAGACAATTATGAATCATCAGTCTCTGGGCTTTTTTCAACGGAATTAATTTCCTCTACTATCCAGAAATTACATTTAATACCGAGCGGACCAGGAAAATATTTACAACAGAATATAGATGATCTTGATCTTTTAGCCAAGTACCTGATTAGTGATTCTAAAGCTGTTTTGAACGACCAGAAGGTCATATTTACTAATTTATTAGTAAACTGGTTTCTTGAGTTGCTTTCAGCTCATCGTTCTACGTTTCCGGACAGCTTTCAAGAAGAAATTAGCAACTTATCAACAATACGTGTGGAAGATCTCAAAGTATCTCCTGAGCATCTTTTGAAACTAATTCAAAGCTCCGAAAATGACCAATTTATAAAAGTTTGCGAAGAGTTTATGATCCCAGCTTTACATCTTGCATTGAAGGGAAACTCAATCCGTGCATTAGGAAAGGCATGGGTCATATTCTCATGCGGGGCCATTCAGTTATTTGTTCCGAGCTCAGCATTTGATCCTGCGATCAAGGAACATGTGGTTTATGAAGTATTTTCAAAGCAGCAGGAGTCGTCAAGAGAACTTGTTGAAGCATGGAAATCCGTCAGAGTCGTAGACAGAGGTGATAATAATATTTTACTTGAAAACTTTTTACCATCCTTGAATGATTCAGAGAAACCTCTGAAACCAAGAGTATTTAGAGGAGATGCACCTGTCGAACCACTTTTCGAAGAATGGAACGCTTTCATGGAATCTTCAGTTGATGTCCGCCCCATCAGATCTTTATTAGATTCTGCTGAAAACCTTAATCAATCTAGTTTCAAGATCGTAGAAACATTTCAAAGAAATTCGATGCAGTTCCTTCATAGGTTGTCTGCAAACTATATTTTGTTTTCGGATCTAAATGACATATTGAAGGGCTACGTTCTCGGCCTAAAGCTTGGTTTGGAGTTGGTCACTATGACTGATCCAGATTTAGGTCGTGGAACATTTACAGCCTTGGCACCCACTGATGCAGTTGCTATGACAAGTGAATCATTTATATCAGAAGGGTTCGATGAAGTTAGGGAATTGGTCAAGCTGTTAGACTTGGACTCTACTGTACCCGAGCTTGTGATGATATACTATATCCAGTTGTATTTCGGCCACACTAGCGAGAGTCGAGTGAAATTGGACTCTGTTTTGAAGCAAGCTTTCCAGTTGCTCTACTACAGGTGGACTTTACGTAAGTTGAAAGCTGACGAAGCTCTTACTCAGAGCAACCTGCTTTACAAATATACCGAAAAATCAGCGGAAGAAGATTTCAGATCATTATTCCCGGATTATGAGGACGTCATGGGAATCAGCATAGAATCAAAGTCTAAAGATTCTAATTTTGAAGATGTCTATCAAAGAATCGCTAGAATATACATTGATGCTTTCTTATTTGATAAAGCTACTAAAATTGAAAGCTTAGTTCAGGAAGGATCTGATTTATCTGTTTTAATCGCACCCTATGTTGGAAAGGGTCCTTCTGAGACTATCAAGTCGTCTTACTTCGCTGCATTGATTATGAAGTTTGGTTCAACGAAGGAGGAATTCTCTACGAATGCAACCAAGTTAAACTTTTACTATGATAACTCCACTGTTGAGTCAAAGAATGCCATATCAATAGTTAGCTCACTTTACGAACGAACATGTGCCTTACTTGACGAATGGCCGGAACATTCTACCCTTCAAAACATAGCAAAGTCAGCAGATGAGTATTTAATGCTACCGGCGAATACTCCCATTGCCAGATTATTACAGAAGATTGAACAAATTTACACGTTTATTGCAGAATGGGAAAAGTATGCATCTAAAAGCGTTTCTCTTAAGTCTTACTTTGACAGATTGACACATTTAATTGTGTCTTGGAGAAAATTAGAATTATCAACTTGGCGAGCTCTCTTTGAATATGAAGATGCAGCTGTAGAGAAAGACATTGGAAAATGGTGGTTCCATTTGTTTGAAACGATTATAATTCCAGAATTGTCCGAAACCGAAGAGTACGAGAAAGATACCATCAAGCTAATATCTGCATTGAATCTATTCATGAGCGATGCAAAGTTTGGGGAATTTGAACATCGCTTAAATTTACTCAAGGCATTTGGAAATCATGTTTTTATGATTTCATCGAATAACACTACAAGTGATTCTCTTGCCAATGTTGTAACCTTTTATAGCCAATTTCTTCCTCTTGTGAAGGAAAATATTGTGAAAGTTAAAAAGGGACTAGAAAAAGACGTTTCCGAGGTTATCTTACTAGCTAGCTGGAAAGATGTTAACATTGATGCTCTTAAGCAAAGCTCTAGAAGGTCTCATAATAATCTTTACAAAATTGTTAGGAAGTATAGATCGCTTTTGGCTTCTCCAGTGGGCCCACTAATCGAGCAAGGAATCTCACCTGATGTGAAGTGTTCTGATTCCTTGACCCCATTACCTTCATTACCTAGAATCAACTTGGATGAAAGGATCTCAGATATTTGTCAAAGAATAGACACATGGTCATCTAGACCTAAGAGACTCCAAAACATTACTATCGTTGAGAAAAATATGGAAAATTACATTAATCAACTTGTTGCAGAGAAAAACCCTGACCTATATGGGTTTGCAAAGGATTTACTCTTTGACATGGAACGTCTTCGAGATGAAACACCCAAGGAGCTTACGAAGGAAAACAAGAGGCAAGTATCTGCCCTCAAGACTCAAAAATTGAAATTGATCAGCAATACCTTAAAAGAGCTTCGTCGTATGGGTCTCAAAACTAATATTAACCCCAAGATTCATAAAGTTCAAACGACGGTAAATCTTATATTAAGCAATAGCAAGTCTTTTGATGGCACTTCCCTCAAGGGTTGCGATCTGTACTACTTTAGACTCTTAGATTTACTTCCGAGATTGAGAGCTTCAGTAAACAAGGTTGCAGAAGATGCTCCGCAAGGAGATGCCGAGAAGGGACTTGCTGCAGTAGAAAATGTTCTTTTCTCGTTGATTACAACTCGTGGAAAGCTATTTGAGCTATCTAACGGTGTTGAAAAATTACTGATGCTATTTAACACTTTTCTGGAAGTCTCAGATTTAAGTAACTCCCTGGCTAAGTTAAACGCCTGCTCTAAGATTGAATCTGCTAAAATAAATATGAAGCATATCGAAAGTGCTATATTTTGGTTACCACAACTATTTGATTATACACTCAGAATTTTTGATTCGCTCAGCAATTTTGGAATTTCCGCAAACTTAGAGTCGTTTGATAGCATGAGGCGAAAGTTGAACGAACTTGATTTGAAAGGCAAGAAGCTCTTCTTTAAGCCCTATTCTCAAGAAGCTGTCGAATATATTAAGGAATTCAGATTTTATGTTGATGAAGTAACCTCTACTTTAACAGAATGGAGGGAACAAAACCAGTCACTTGCATTTGTAGCTAACATCATTCTTGGATGGTTAACGAATGCTGTTAGAAATGATTCGCCAGAGTCTATAGCAATGAAACAGGAATGTGATTTTGAGGCAGTCAAAAGTGCTGAGAAATCATTGAGGCAAATATCAAACTTGACGATCTTAGCAGTTCAAAGAGTGACTGAAATTAGAAGTGAATCAATAAGTGAGGAGGATGATAATTGGCTAGTTTCGTCACAACAGAGGCTTTTCAGTATGATAAAAATTTGCAACTATCGCCAAATTACCGGACTGTTAGAGAAGTTCTTTGAAATTATATTTAATATTGAACATGATAACGAAACATCCGAATTGACAACAGCCATGGCAGCATTTACTTTACCACTCTTGCAACACTACCTTAAACTTGTTCGTGTCATATTTGAAAGGGCCCGCGAAAACTACGCAAAAACGTCAAGGGCCACCTATATTTTGTCAAATGTATTATATACCTTGGCTTCAAAGGGTCTTTGTTCTCCAGAAAAACCTTCTGAATCGAAAGAAGACAACAATTTACAAGAAGGCGAGGGTCTAGGTGACGGCGAAGGTGCTACAAATAAATCTAACGATATGGATGAAGACATCTCTGATGATGATTTAGAGCATAATAATGAAAACCAGGATGATTCTAAAGATGATGACGAAAAGGAGGCTGCCGATGCATCAGGTCAAGTAAATGGCGACTTAGAAGATGCATCTGACCAAGAAGAGAATGATGAAGATAAAGAGAATGACGAAGATGAAGAGTTGGATGAAGAAGTAGATGATATCGACGATTTAGATCCTAATGCTATAGATGAAAAGATGTGGGATGAAGAAGCACAAGATGATAGTAAAGAAAAAGAAACTGACCAAAAGATGGATCAAATGAACAAGGATGAAGAAATGGAAGCAAATGAGGACACGGAACAAAATAGTGATCAAGCAAATAAAGAGGAACAAAAAGATGAAAACGCTATTGAAAAAGATGACGTACCGGATCAGGAAGAGGAAGATAAAGATGCAGACGAACAAGACGTAGGAGAACAAGATGATGAAGTTAGAGCAGAAGAAAATGAACAACTTGAAGAGAATGTTGAGCAATCTGAGGCCCTTAACTTGCCAGAGGATATGAATCTTGACGAAGATGATGACGGTGAAGACGATGCAGATGGGTCGGAAGATGGAAAAGACGACCTAAACGATGAATTAGACGCCGAAGAAGTGATAGAAGAAGAAGAAGAGTCTTTGGACAACAAAGAACAAGACAATTTCGAGGATAAAGTTGAGAATGACCTGGAAGGAGGCGATTCTCCAGATGAATCTAATGAAGAGGAAATTGATCACGATGATTTGAAGGATGAAGCTCCAAGTGACGCTGAAAATGAAAAAGGCGACGAAGCTTCGAATGATGAAGATATATCAGTAGATGGTGATGATATAAATGAGAATGAGAAAACTGAAGATAACCCAGAAAATGGAAATGAGGAGTCCCTTGAAGGTGCCGAAGGAGGATTAGAGGAGGCTGCTAATGATGATATAGACATGGAATCTGCTGTCAAGCAAGAAAGCGGAAGTAGAAGCGAAGGTGCTGATAGTGAGGTTGCAGATGAAAAAGATGATATAGGTGCTTCTGGGAGTGCTTCAACAGAAGTTCAGCAAGACGAATCTAATTCAGAAAGTAAAAATGATGCTCGTGATCTCGCCAAAGAATCTTTGAAACAGTTAGGTGACTCTTTAAAAGAGTTCCATAAACGACATCAAGAAATTAAAGAAGCGCGTATTGAAGATGAAGAAACCATAGATGAATCAGCTAATACCAGACCGGATGAATTTCAGCACGTTGAAGGAGAGAATTCAAATTTTGACACTCAAGCTATGGGTGCAGCGGATAAAGAGCAAACGCAAGCTTTAGATGATGATAAGGCAATCGAAGATGATCTAGAGGAGGCACCAGATATGAAAGATGCGCCAGAAGATAAAGAGGACGATATGGATGTCGATGAGATGAATGAATCTAAAGATAATGATCTTGATGCTGATTTAGATAAGAATCCCCAAATGGAATCTTCTGAAAAGGCGGCAGGGGAGGTAAAAAATGAAGTCGAAGAAGCAAGCGAGACGTTAAAAAATGAATTTGAAGATGAGCTAGAAGATGAGTTTCTTGATAACGAGATTGGTTTGGATTCTCTCAAAGTCAATGAAACGTCGGATGTCCCTCCGCTTGACATTGAGACAGCGAGGGAGATTTGGAAGGAAAGTGAAATGGCAACGCAAGAACTTGCATCGGGATTATGTGAACAATTAAGGTTGATCTTGGAGCCTACTGTTGCTACTAAATTAAGAGGAGACTTCAAGACTGGTAAGAGATTAAACATGAAGAGAATTATTCCATATATCGCTTCAGATTTTCGAAAGGATAAGATCTGGTTAAGAAGAACTAAACCATCGAAAAGACAGTACCAAGTTATGATAGCAGTGGATGATTCCAAATCCATGAGTGAGAGCAAGTCAACAGAGTTAGCTTTTCATAGCATAGCTCTCGTTGCCAAAGCATTAACTCAATTGGAAAGTGGGGGACTTTCGATTGTTAGATTCGGTGAAGATGTTAAACTTATTCATCCTTTCGATAAGCCGTTCAATAACCAAGAAACTGGCGCTAGAGTATTTCAATGGTTTGATTTCCAGCAAGCTCGTACAGACGTGAAGGAACTTTGTGCCAAATCTCTTAGAATTTTTGAAGATGCAAGAGCCACCACAAACTCAGACTTATGGCAATTGCAGATCATTATATCCGATGGTGTTTGTGAAAACCATGAAACCATTCAAAGATTGGTGAGAAAAGCTAGAGAAGAGAAAATAATGTTAGTATTTGTCGTCATTGATGGTATTAACTCCAATGAGTCTATAATGGACATGAGTCAAGTTTCATATATTACTGATGAAGATACTGGATCAATGAAATTAAAAGTTGACAAATACTTGGATAGCTTTCCGTTTGAGTTTTACGTGATTGTGAAGAACATTAACGAACTTCCTGAAATGTTATCGTTAATATTAAGACAATATTTTTCAGAAATGGCATCAGCATAAGATAGACAATTATTGTATATTGAATTAAAAATTTTGTATTATAGTCGACTATTTCAACCAATAATAAATGCAAAAGATTATTTTAAACAGAATGACAACTGTAATTAACTCTATAATTTAACCATAATACCTTCTCTTTATTTCCTATTTAAAACCTTTATTAGATGCCACCCTTGCGACACAAATGGACATATCGTCTAATTTCCCACCAGTACTAACATTTTTCCCATATTTATTCGGCAAAGAATTTACTCTCTCATTATAGGGTGTGTAGGCGTAGTCATCGAAGCCGATTTCCTTGGCTTTCAATAACAATTTGTTGGCAACTGCTTTCAAGTTGTCCTTTTTGATACTCAAATATTCATCGATGTAATGCACTATCTCCCATTCGTACAAATTATCTGATATTCCATCAGAACATACGACAATTATATCATCCACTTCTAATTTGATCGAATCAACCCATGCTATATCTGAAGGCAAGACATTCAAAGTTTGCGTTCCAATTTGCTGTGGACATAAGCTTGATATCAATTGCTCTTCATTTGTTTTTATGATTTCGCCATCACGAATAATATACATTTTTGAATCACCAATACTTATCATCTTGAGATATTCCCCACTCAACATTCCCATAATCAAGGTTGAAGATCCTCTAAAATTCTGAACATCCATCAAATGAGAAGTATGCAAGTACGAATCATCCAACACCTGATCAATATCTCTTTTATTCAAATGGTGTGGTGTGTGATTGAGCTTGTATTCGGTCATGAGTCTACTCAAGGTCTCCAACATCGACCTTGCCCACAAACCAGAGCTGCAATTCTCACCTTTACCTTCCCAACCAGAAACTCCATCTGCTACAGCCAAAACTGTAGGGGACACCAACATGGCATCATCGCCTGCCTTGATAGACAATGTATCAGAGGGCGAACCATGAGGTCTTCTCCTTGGTAACAAGGAGTTGAGCAGCGCAGGATCTGTCAAGTCCGATAAAGAATGAACTAATGGAGAAGATCTATCACTGTGGAATGCAAATGAACTATAGCCAACTTCAAATTTATATTTGTCATTACTAATCTGCTTCATCTGTTCTTTAGTAAGAACAGGAAACTGAATATATGGATTCAAATCTGGTTCTTCCCTCACCGCCTTTCTTTGAGGCATGAAATAACTACTAGCGCCTCCAAAAAGCCCTCGACTGCTCTCTAACGCCACAGACCGCTTGTTGCTCCTAAAAGCTAGTTCAACTTTGCCTAGCATGGCACCAATCTGCTTACCTAGGCTCATTATACAATAATTTATATATATAAAGCCCTGCAAAAAGATATATAAGTTAAGCTATCAAAGGAAAACTTTACAAATATACTTTTTGGGCAACAAAAACACGTAAAGAGCTTAAATCATTGGTTTTATATTAATCTATTTTTTCTCCTCTTTTTTTTTTTTTTTTTTTTTGCGATGCGGAAAAATTCGGAGTTCGGAGTCTGCTACAGCCTGGTTTTTCCGTCGATGAGCTAAATATGTACATCTAGATAAGCAAAATTTTAAGTATAGGGCTAAGTAAAGGGCAGAATATCAGATAAGATATTCTAGGCTGCCTTAATTGTCTAATTAAAACAATTAAAATCAGCTGGAAACCATAAAGGTTTAGACAGGTTATTCATTTACCACAGCACTATGAATTACTTCGAATGGAGGGAAGAAGGATGTATGGATGCGAAATTGCTTCTCTCCTTGATTCACCAACATTTCTATTCCAGGGACAACCTTCCAATTGTATTTTTCATGAGCTAACTTCATTATGGGAGTAACTCTAGGTTTATAGGCGGCATCCAATAAAGTAGGAGTGAAAAGGGCCGCACTACCTCCCTGCAACAATGGCTGCAATTTAGACAAAACGACTTCATCGATAGGTTTGGCAGCAGGGATACAAGACACCGCAAGGGAGACAGGTTCTGCATTAGAGGCTTCCTCAAATGTTTCTAAGATATGGATATTGAAGTCAGAAGGAAGGGTATCTTTGACTTCCTGGAGCTTTGATGAGGTTCTGTTGATCATATAGATTTTTTTGCAACCCATCCGGTAGAGTGCATACGCCGCTGCTCTCGAAGTACCACCAGCACCAACTATAAGCCCATTAACGTTAGAACGATCCTCCGTTGGGACTCCGAATCTAGAAAAGGAGTTTGCAATGCCAACCCAATCTGTGTTATCGCCATATATCTTTCCATTTTTCAAATGAACTGTGTTAACAGCACCGATCAATTTAGCTGCATCGGAGAGAACATCCACATATTTCATGATATCCAATTTCAAAGGCATTGTGACGGCTAATCCACCAAATTTAGGATGTTTGATCAATTTTTCATAGACTTCTTTAGCATCAGAAGATTCAAATCTGTCAAATGTGTATGGTAATCTTAATTTGGCATAACCTGCGTTATGTAATTGAGGTGATCGCGAGTGCTCTATTGGAGATCCTACTACCCAAAACTTCTTTTCAGAAAGCGCACCTACCTCAAAGAGTACTTCGTCAATCTGAGGAAGTGTCAATTGACCAGCTGCGGCTTTAAAAGGTAAGGCATCGTGGGTAACTGGAGTCAACACTTTGTTCAATGCTCTCGATAACTTCCCTACTTCTCCCATGTTGATGGCTATAAGTGGTTTTGAAGTGTGAGCCGATCTGAATGTTTCCAAGTCCAAGTTATCTTGAAATACCAGCGCAAGACCAACTAGCTTTACAATATCGACTTCCAACGATACTGCCTTTTCATATTTACTATTCCACTCTGCATCAGTCCACTTGATGTTTCCAGTAACATCGTGATGAGATCCAATTATGCTCGTGTAACCCCTATTATCTAAGATTTTATCAATTATATCTTGAGGATATGTAAGTTGAAGATCCAAGATTTCAACTCCGAGCTTGAGACCTAGTAAAAGGATCTCTTCAATTTTTTCAGTCTCTTCATCTGGGAATCTTCCACCTTGAGAAACTGTTCTGACAGTAAATACTATAGGAAGATCAATATACTTCCTTAAAAGAGAAACTTGTCCTGCAACAAAAGTCTTACTATAGTCTTTCAAGAGATCCACCCTCAACTCAACTGCATTACAACCTATAGCTACCTCTTCTAGAACATCAACTGCATCAGCTAAGTCCTGATAAGTTAAGCTAATGAAAGCACTTCTACTGGGAACTTCAAACTTGGTGATACCAGTGATTGTCTTTAAGAAGCGTATAAATGTTGATCTCAAAATTTGAAACTCTTTTTCATCAGAACAGTGGGAAGAATAAAAGTGATAATTAGAACATTCGTGATACCACTTCTCTCTCCTCTTCCAAACATCCATGATTTCATCAAAATATGCTGGACGAGAAGCATCCGATGATAAGAATGCAACGGTTTCGTCTAAGTCTCTGTGAAGATGTAAAACAATACCCCCACTCTTGACATAGTCTTTGAGCAATTGCCTAGAGTGTTCTGTCTCGACGATTCCTCCCCCAGTTGAAAGAATATACCTTCTACCATACTTTTGAAATGCTTCCTTTGCAATCTCGCTCTCGTATTCACGAAATGTTTCCCAGCCCTTTTCTTTGATGAGGTCCTTTATACTCATGTTGATCTTCTCTTCAAGAAGTTCATCAAGATCGAAAAATTCATATTCAAGGAATGCAGCCATCCATTTAGACAATGTAGTCTTGCCTGCTGCGCGCATACCGATAACAATGATACTTCTATCGCCATGAGGGTCTTTCACTTCTTCAGGTGGTTCATAGCCGTCAAGTGTGACATTGAATTTTGAATGCAAAATGTCCCACCATCCGGGCCAAGTTTTACCAGTTGTTGATCTTTCTCTAATCAAGACAGGCTGCTTACATAAACCTGCCAACAAAGAAAGTGACATTGCAACTCTGTGATCATCATAAGAATCAATTCCTCTATCTTTGATGGACGGAGTGACTAAATTCTTATAAGAAATCCCGTGAATTTCAATACCATCAGGTAACTCGTTAGCTAAAACACCAAATTTTGACAATTCTGTCACCATAGCAGCAATACGATTACACTCTTTTACTCTTTGGTTTGCGATTCCAGTAATTGATGTCGACTGCGAGCTATCTGCTACAGCTGCAACAACCGCAGCGGTCAAAAACGCATCAGTCATTGGCTCCATATCTACATGAGGTAATGGTTTTAATTGCCCCATCGGGGGACCATTCACAGTTGTGGAAGTGGCTGTCTGAACCACTTTACAGCCCATTGGTTCTAACACATCAATCGCAAACCGTGCATCACCTTGTAAAGAGGATGATCCTATACTTGGAACAGTACACGATGTACCTGTCATAGCAGCGAAGGCTAATGGATAAGTTGCTGAAGATGCATCAGATTCAATAATATATTCAGACGGGTTGGTGTAACTACCCTTTGGAATACGATAAGTGTGTTCTTCTGTTGTAGATTTCTCAACCTCAATTCCAAAGGATTTCATCATTGCAATTGTCATATCGATATAAAGCTGTGAAATCGGTTTTCCTCCTACCAAGGAAAGAGTGACGGGGTTCTTGGCATATGGTGCACACATAAGAATCGAAGAGACATATTGCGAGGAAACGGTGGCAGCAAGCTCTATTCTACCTCCGTTGAGACCTCTTCCAGCTTCAACCTTCAAAGGCAAAGAGCCATCAGACTTAAGATAATCAATATGCAAACCATTATATCTTAATGCATCTACTAATGGGCCAATTGGCCTTTCTTGCATCCTTGCATTACCAGTTAGCACAACATAGTCCTTTGATTTGGGATTTTTTTCAACTAACGATACGACCGTGGTTAAAAATCTTGATGCTGTTCCAGCATTACCAAGATACAATTCTTCATCACATGTCTGCAATTTTCCACCATTACCAGAAACAACAATTGTTGCTCCATTATCCTCAGTGGATACTGAAGCACCCTTTAAAGCGGAAATAGCATCAAGCATATGTTTTGTATCTGCAGAATGTAATAGATTAGTTATTCTAACAGTGCCCGTTCCCAAAGCCGCCATTACCAAGGCCCTATTTGAGATTGATTTCGAACCGGGAGGAATAACGACGTTCGTGGTTGGTGTTGAGTTTGGATCAAAAGGGTGAACCAAAACTTCATCAGTTAAGACAAATCCTAAATCTTGCTTAGAGACTTGATGTGCCTTAAGCTGATAGCACTTGCCTATGCATTCCAATATGACGCATCTGATTTTACTTCCATCGTTCTTTTTATCAATTGACATTTTATCTAATAAAACTGGTAACTTTACATTACGACGCTTCCTTCCAACCTTTTTTAAAAATGCTGGATCATCTATTGAGACAGGTAGACCGTATGCGGTAAGGCACTTTGATAATCTAGCAACTGCATCGGGAGCCAAGACACCAAGGTATCTTGCCAATTCTGCTTCCTTAATCATACCAATAGATACACATTCACCATGTAATGCTTCTGGTGTTAGTATAGCTTCAATGGCATGTCCAATAGTATGACCAAAGTTGAGTAAGTTTCTTAATCCAGATTCCTTTTCATCTGAAGAGACAACAGAAGCTTTCACTCTGATTGACTCCAAAACAGTTTTCACAATATCATCTTTGATCAGTGATATATCTAAAGAGCTTGAATTAACTACAGATGAAAAAATTTTTGAAAAATTTTCTAATCTGCTAAACTCCTCTTCATTCCAAATTGCTGCTGTTTTCACAACCTCGGCCATTCCATTAATAAATTGTCTAGTAGGTAACGTTTCCAAGAAAGAAATATCTACGAAGACATATTCTGGCTGGTGAAATGCCCCAATAAAGTTTTTACCCATTGGTGTATCTATTGCTGTCTTTCCTCCGATAGAAGAATCAACCATTGCTAAAAGACTTGTAGGAACTTGGATAACTCGCACTCCTCTCATGAATGTAGCAGCCACAAACCCAATCATGTCACCTATAACCCCTCCTCCTACAGCTATTATGACAGTGTCTCTAGTGCAACCCTTCAGCAATAAGAAATCTTCCACCTCGGCCTTAGTCTTTCTGTTCTTATTATCTTCACCTGGCAGAATAAAATATGTTAGTATTCTTGACTCAGGTCTCTTCAACTGCAATTTCTTCTCGAACTTTGCAACTAAGTTCTTAAATGGTTCAGTCTTTTGTATATGGGCGTCAGTAATAAACACATATGTTGAAGATGCCTTATGGACAATAATTTCTTCGACCATATGGTCTTGGAGCTCATATCCTACATGGATACTTTCACGCCCCAAAATTGATACCTTTTGAACATCTGTCATTGCCTTTAAAGTATCACCCTCCTTTAAGCAACCTTCTCGACTAAGAACGTTAACGTTTAGAGTATATATTTGAGTCTGAAAAATTCTGAAAATTTTTGTGGAGCCAAAATGCTACTGACTCATATCTTTTAGCATATCAGCCAATGCGCACTACTTACAAATGAGAATAATGATATTTTATAAATGTCGTAGCCTATTTACACTATATAGTTATGAATAATCAGCTTAATATAGTCCAAACACTCCTCCTGAGAGCCCTGTGGATTATCCAATTGCCAAATTAAAATTTCAGTGGTTATTTTACCGGTCCAAGGACCTGGTTTCATTTGCAATTTGGTGCTCAAAGTTTTCCCATCGATAAGAGGTTTCAATTCACTGACATTAGACAAGTCAAGAGAATAAATCCTATCAAGAAGAGAGTCGTAGCCCTTTATAAAAGGTATGATTTCGCTGTTGTATTCACTTTGGGATTTTTCTATTGGTTGTGGAACTTCGTCATAACTGCTCTCAGGCTGCGAAATCGACTCAAGCACATCTATGAAACAGTTGCATACGATGTCTAAATTTAAATAGGAACCAAATTTGCGCAAATAAAGACCCAACTTGGATCTTTCCACAGATTCCGGATTATGTAGCGCTTGATTCATTAGTTCTTTTGAGTCATTGTGTTCTTGCAAAATTGTCGAGACAGGGTCAAAATCCCCCTTCCCAAATCTTAGACCCTCTTTGATAAATAATTCAGGTGCAGAGTTGAGAATGTGTTTACGCTTAGGGTTCGATACAATCCGAATTGCACCATATTTCTCCAATATTGCGGACAACCAAAAGAGCTTTTGTGACTTTGTGTGAGACATTATATCATGGTACAAAGCAGAAAAGCGTGGGAAACGTTCGTCTGATTGGAGAATTTCTTCAAATGCATTAGAAAGGTTGGTTGTATTGCGAATATGGATGCTGAGGTTCTTCAGAGTAACTTCCAATTCATTCAAAACATGTTGATCGTTAATTTTGGAAATAGTTTCAGTTAGCGTGCCAAAACTGAATACACTTTCTGACAATTTTACGTAACTTATCAAATTTAAGCCGTATTTGGGATTTGGACCCGAGAGGATTTTGTCCAACTCAACACCAACACGTTCTCTACTGATTTTATGTATTAATGCATCTTTAATACCTGGATTGGCCATTGCTGCTAACGTTTCTTTCTCAATTATGAAATTGAATCTGCTTGCAAATCTGATTAATCTCAATACCCTCAATGGGTCATCTAAGAAAGTCTTGAGTGGTTGCAATGGTGTACGCAAAATTCCGTTTTTTAAGTCCTCTTTTCCAAAACCCGTGAAATCTTCTATTTTGCTTTCATTCAAGTTATAGAATAGAGCATTCAAAGTGGCATCTCTTCTCAAAGCATCTTCCTCTGCTGTACCACACTCTATTATAGGTACTCTGCTATCCGCGGTGTAGTGCTCACATCTCAAGTTTACAAAGTCGATATCTAATCCAAACAACTTAGTAGTACACGTTTCCAAGTGTTTTGATTTCTCGGGATTCTTTTTTATGAGATGAGTTGCCTTCATCAGAAGCTCAGGCCTTTCCTTATTGACATATTCATGTAACTTCGAGGCAAACTCTTCACCCAGCATTTCATTAATAGCTATATCAAGATCATTACTTTCTTTGCCTAATAGCTTATCTCTCACCCATCCACCTGTTATTCTCAACACTAAGTTGTTGGTTTTATTTTGATTGTTGTATTTATTGCAAAACTCTACAAGTAAATCACGGATGCTCAGTTCTGTTTCGTTTAATGTGATGGGCTCTTTCACCTCTTTCATCATATTAATAGTACTAGTAAGCCTTTTCGACGCAATATTAACAAAAGGTACCGACTGTGACCTAAATAAATATCTTCCCTGAAGTCTAATTGCTAAAAATATGCTCATTGACTATGGATCTATTACTCATCTCGTATTTTGACCACTTTTTTTTTTTTCGCTAAATATCATATACATTGTAAAGAAATAGCAGTCCATTATAAGAAGGCTCTTTATGCCATTGACAGTCGCAACACCAATGAAAGGACTTTGAAGATCCTAAGAGTCATAGAGAAGCCTATGGTTTTTAAAGATTTTAAAAATTCTTCTATTGGGTTTTTGAGCTTCGTATCAGAGAGGTGTCTGGGATGATTGAAGAATTCGATATCCCGAAGCATTTTCAAATGATTTCACGTACCCGATATTTTAAAGCATTTGCATAGATTTCGTTAAAATAGAGATTGATAAGAACTTGATGATAGTCAATTTGGAGGAGGTGATAAATGCTCAGAGACTTCTGGAAAAAAGGTTCCAAGAAAGCTTGAAACAAGTTGAAGAACGATTTCAAGAACGCCTAGAAAAGCTAGAGGAAAGAACCAATGAAATTATTTATTCTCAAAAAGAAATGAAAGATGTTGAATTTAAGCAAACACTAACTGTCGAATACCTTGGAGAGCTGGACCCTGAGTTGGTTCAAGCTTTCTTGAGTTGTGTTTCATGTGCTCAAAGGTTCAATAATTGGGATGACATAGCTACGATTAACTATTTAAAGTGCCATCTTTCTGGAAATGCATTGTTATGGTTTGAGCAAACAATTAGTCTTGAAGAAGGCAACATAACTTTTAATGAGGTGCAAGAAAGACTCAGGGAGAAATTCGAGAAGAAAGATGATATATCAGATGCTTTCTCAAAGTTGGTTCACCTTAAATACGACGCAAAAAACCCTAAACAAAGTTTGAGTCAATTTAAAGATAATATGAATGTCTTAGTGACTCAAGGATTGCCGGATAATGTTGCTCTTGAGTGGTTTCTATCAAACTTTGCCAGTTTAATTGAAGCTAATACTTTTACTAAGGAGCCCCAGTCACTTGAAGAAGCCTATGAAACCTATGAAGCCGCAATGGAAAAAAGGGTACAAGCTGATCCTTGTGGTAGTCCCAATGCTTCTTCAATAAAGAACTGCGATTCTAAAAGCAACTTGCGAACGGCATCAAAGAATGACAAGTTTTCTTTATTTTCACGTTACTTTCTCCTCTCTATGATATATATTTTTGCAGCTGTTCTCGGCTTCATTGCCTTCGTCACAATCATTGCCATTGTTACCTTCTGGGGTGACAAACTCATTGAAAATCTCCTTCGTTTTCTTATTAGAATTGGTTGGATCGGGTGACTGAGGTCAATGGTTTGGTTAATTTTTGAATCTTCAACTTTGAAAAGATATAGTTAAGAATATGAGGTTTATGATAAGGATTGACAAAAAATTGAAATCTATGATGATAAGGGAGAATCAAAGAATTTTCCTGTCAAATAAATGGATCTACCTGTGTTGTAGTGAAAGTTTCTCTTTCTAATAAACAGCTGCATAACCGGTAGTTAAATAAAAGCTCACTTTCACTTAAATCGAGCCCAATTTCTGCGAATATTAAGCTTAACCCAAAACAATCCGATCCAAGACCCATGCTAGTGAGCAGAAATAAGGATCTTTCAGTTGTCAACGCTACAATTTAAAAAGAATTTATTGTTTCCAGTTTCAATAATGGATGTTCAAATTATAAGCAGTGAGAAAGCTAAATAGTTAAAAAAGTATGAAAAGATCAATCTTGACTTGAGAAAAGTCAAGAAGTGAGGTCTAGTTAGAGAACCTTAAATGTTGAAGGCACTCGTAAATAAATGGATAAAAATTGATTGCATCAAATATTAGTTTGTTACGTCTTGCTCATAAATATTTCTTGCGACAACTAAAGTCTTCTCCCAATTACTCAAATCTTCAGCTTCCTTGCTTTCCTTTTTTTCAAATGAAGAACAGAATTCGTTGATTATACTAATAAATATATCTTTAACATACTCGACGTCTCCCATTTCGTACTCTTGAATTCCTAGTCTTTTTTCAACATGTATAACTGTATCTTGAATAATCTCATCCCAAATTAATAGGCCCTTTTCAGACTCATCAGCGAAACGGAAAGGTCTCTTATCAATAACATTCATAACTAACTCTTTTTCCATTACTTGCGATGATGATTTATACAAAAGAGTATAATAAGTTATTTCAATAACAAATAACACATATAAAGCAATCGCATAACTCTTAAATTCTAGAAAACAGAAAATTAAGATAAAAGGGAAACTTCTAATGTTAAAGTTCTTATAGTAATACTTTAAAGTATACATCGCTTCTATGATAAGACTATCTCTGTTTAAAGGGAAATCTGTAATCCTTCTCATTTTAGGTCACTATTGTGGTACGCGCACGTCATTTCTATGAACTCTATATTATTAGAAGGGAAAAAAAAAGGGTGACAATAAATATTACAAAATCCATACAATGTTATCGTTAGAAAAGAGTATATTTGCATTAAAGATCGTTGGATGTATATTCACCTCGGTCATTATAGCTGAAATAGCACTAGCTCAATGTGATATTTTGAAAGTGGATGATTTAGTTATTGGGATCGAGATTGTTTTTGGCACTGTTTTAGCGAGTGCTATTGCAGGTTGCTATGGAATGCTATTTGACAAAATTTCTAATGAAATTATAATATCAGAAATTTTGGAAAAACGTCCATACAGGGAAACTTGCAAGGAAAAAGAGCTAGAACTTTGGGCTGATATCCTCGTCAACATTAAAGAGCAGCGCAGAAAACGTTTGTTTTTACTTTTCTCCCCTAAAATATCCATTTATGGTTTAGAGGCTCGGTTCCAAAGCTTGATATTGCAGATTGATAGAAAGTTGAAAGGAGTATATAGAGATGTAAATGTCGAAGAGATAGATGGACTTGATGGACTATTAGTTTCTGCTAAGGAAGTATACGAAGAAGATTCTAATGATTATTATAATAAAAAGGTTTTCAATAAGCATTGGTCGAAGCATGGGGATTTGCTGTTTGCTCCAATTCTCAAAAAGAGCAAATATTCCAGTCGAAAATCATTAACGAATGCATTAGAGAAAGCTTTAATCGTCTTATTTTATGCAGGTTTATGCTTTACTTTATACTATAACCATGGTAAATAGTAAATAGTAAATAGTAAATCTTAAGCTCCTTTCAAGCTTTTACTGGCATAACGGTCTAGTCAGCCTCCAAAATCATGGACAGAAGACCAATTGATTATTACTCTCTCAACAATAACTGGAAAAAAATCAACCTGTACAAGAAATCGCCTTTGGGTGCTATATAGGGCTACAGACAAATTTTATTCGAGAATTTTTAGGAGTAGTTTCCTTTGACCAGAACCTCAATGGGGAGGAGCTTAGCTGCCGTGAATATTTTAGGAAGTATGTCATCTGGCTAGTGATGGCATTGCCATGATTTGAACAAAGAAAACTGTCATTGCACAAAATGACATTGGTGCTTCTATCGGATGCTGTTGAATAACCGAGCTTTTTTCAATATCAGTAGAATGCATCATTACCTACAGAAACTTTCACTTCTGATAGGATATATTTATGGGGTTGAAACTGACAGCTTTCATATAAGACGCTTGCTAATAAGTTCGTGCTTATATAACAAGTTATGGCAAATATAAGCAGTAATTATTATGTATACATAAATGAAGTGTGATAAACACATCTCCAGTATTGAACGAAACATGGCTTGGAGTGCATTACAGTAGCTCCGTATTGACATACCCTCAATTTATAAATTTTTGAAGAAAGGCCTGCGTAGCGTAATGGTTAACGCGTTTGACTTCTAATCAAAAGATTGCGGGTTCGACTCCCGCCGTGGGTTCATGGATGCGGTTTTAGCTCAGTTGGGAGAGCGTCAGACTGAAGTTCAACTCCAGTCACAGTTAATCTGAAGGTCCTGTGTTCGATCCACAGAAATCGCATTTAATTTTTTCAAATCGTCTTTTTTTACGCAGTGTTCTTCGTGATAGCTTGTAGCTTTCTAGGATAGTCATTTTCACACATTCATACACATACACAAACGCTCTTTTTCCTCTCTTATGTAGCTCTTATTAAGAAATTTGCAGTTTCCAACTGAAGTCAACTACTTCAAGAGATCTTCCTTTAAACTCAGTCCACGTCAAAGATCAAGTATAGCTTTATCTTAAAATTTTGTCTTTGTGTCACTGTTTGTAATTATACGAATATATGCTACAGGATTGTTTTGAATATCTAACAGTTCAGGGAGAGTGTGTGGATTGTCTAGGGTTATAACATGGACACGGTTTTGGGATTGTCTCTTCCTTATATGGAACGAGCCGGAACCAATGTGTCTCTTAAAAAGATTATACTTGCAGATCAGCAAGATCTTACTCGATATACTATTGAATTGAATGAACATAAACGATGTTCATCTATAATAAAAAGTTATAGCAAAAGCGGAGAAGAAATCAAGGAGCCAGTAGAATTTATTGAGAATCAAATTCTTGAAGAGAAAAAGCGATCAAATGTGCCATTATTGATTAAATTGCCATCTTCTCATAAGAAAATCAAATTTAATGTTTTAATAAAGCCCGTAGAGAATTACGAATCGAAGTCACTAATTATCTTAAAAGCAAAAGAAACTTTGGAGAATGTGCAATTGAGAAGCATATTGCACCAGGAATGCTATGCGCAAGGGGATATTGAAGTTTCGAAATTGTCGTACTCAACTTTGCCTGTTAACAGAACTAATAAAGATTTTCAAAAAATAATCGTAAACGACAGTTTTAATTCTACCATGTTCAAAAATAAGAGAATAAATATCTCTTTATGGGAATATGATAATATAATTCAGGACTACAACTTCTTGTTTTCCTTCAGCCTCTGGATAAGTGAAGTTGCTAATGACCCTGAAGAATCTGGTCTTTCTCAACCCTCTGAAGACGATCGCTCTTCAAAAATGGAGCCAAAAACTAATAGAAGACATGTCAAACCTCTCAAAATATCAGACTATCGTAATGCTTTCAAGCTCGATATTGAGGATGGTCCTGAATTTAGAAAAGAGGTATCGTCTTACCAAGCACATTTACCAATATTTAAAAAGACATGTATGAATTTACTAGATGAATTGAGAAGTCTACAGTTATATTTGAAAAGGATGAGGAACACAAGAGTGAAGATAATAGAACATTCTCAGACTTTAGCTCGATTGCACTTCAATTCTTTATTGAATAAAATGGGCTTCATGAATGATTTTGACGATCAACTTAAACTGATATTTGACCCTTTTGAAAAAAACATTGACTTTTTCAGTAATAATGTTTGTAATGAAAAATTGCTTTCCAAAATATCTTCCAATTTGTCTAACACCGTCAGCAATGATGGTAGCGGTCCAAATGAGCTATTACATAGTAGAAAACATTTCGAAAACGGTTCGAAGGAATATTACAGTTGGCTCAATAAATATTTGTCAAATGAGAAGGAGAGGCCTGAGCTGAAACTATTGGCAAAAAGAAAAGCCTTCGAATTATCAAAACTTGATTATCTAAACCATTTGAATCTGGTTGTAAACAATCAATACTTCAATCAGCTTTTAGAGAATGTACTCAAGTTTAACGGCTTACCTTATAATGAAAAAGACAGAAGGGTTTTAGATTTCAAAATTTTTAGTGACCCAAAGCTCAGCCAAGATCTCTTGGATGATAATTACAAAATTTACTTGAATGTGCTTTCAAGATTTAATAGTCAGAAATTTCAATTCAGGCAAATGATTGAGGCAAGTCAATCGAATGAGGAATTAACCAATGTAATAAGATACAATGTATTGAACCAGACAGCTCCTTTATTAGAATGCGACACTGCCTCTAACGAAGACCCTATTTTAAGAAAGGATAATATAGATTTAATTTTCAGCAACTTACCCACTTACTTCACTGACTCTGCTCCAGTATCTCCTGCAAATGATGCCACTTCGGACATGTCAGGAATACTATATACCTTAGGTGGACAAGGTAAACAGGGATGGCACAAAGAATGGGTTGTTTTAAATAATGGGCAATTAATAGAATATTCTGATTGGAGAAAAGCTAAAGTTCAAATTAATAGACCAATAGAACTAGCACTTTCTAGCATAAAGCCAATGAATTATGAAAAGAGACAGCATTGTTTTGAAATTTTGACCTCAACTGGACATAAGCATGTTTTTCAAGCAATAAACGAGGATGAAAGGAATCAGTGGGTAAAAGCGTTGTATAAAGCAGGCCAAATTGTTGATACTTCTAGACTCAGAGAAACATATACCAATGCAACGAGGGCCAAACAATTGAATACGGATGCGCGTACTCAACTCAGCAGCTTAGTTACTGATTTATCTGAAAATCGGGTAATTGCACCGATTACACAAGATCAGTCACATTCACCTGTATCAATCTTCTCCAGGCCTCTTTTGTCAGAAAAGGATTACCTTAAACTTGTGAGATCAATAATAGATAGTGGAAATGACTGTTGCGTTGATTGCGGGAGCAGCGAATCCGTGGAGTGGGTATCGCTTAGCTTTCTTGTTTGCTTCTGCGTGAAGTGCTCCTCTTTCCATAGAAACTTGGGCTCACATATATCGAGGATAAAATCTTTGAAACTCGATAACTTCGACAATGAATCAGAAATGCTCCTTAATTATATCAACAATAATCAAGTCAATTCCTATCTAGAAGGAAACTTGATTGATGCAAAGCCAACGTCGAGTTCTTCTGATGATGAAAGGCTGACATTTATCACGAAAAAATATATAAATAAAAAATATCTTCAGCAAGTCGATAACCCAGATGACTTTTTAATAAAGTCAATTCAAAAGATTGACATGCCTAATATTTTGAGAGGTATAATTTCTGGAGGCAACACTAACATCAATGTGCAAATTAGTATTCACTCAAGCAATGTATCAAAAATCATTTCACTCTTTGAATACTCTTTAAGGAAGTTCATACAGATTGAGGATGGAGATCCTGATAATAGCAAAACCAAGAAGCTTTTTATTATTTCTGAATTATTAGTGCTAAATGGTTGTGATATTAAAGATATCACACAGTTGGATGAGGACATTGGGATTACCTCAGATGCTGTTGCTTATTATGAGACTAGGCGCTCTAAAATTACAGGTATGTAGTATTATATAGTGGATTCTCAAGATACGGCAATTAAACATGCCACTTTATGGTTTCTACCCCCCATAGGGAACAATTCTCTAATGTATGACTGTTAGCGATTCTCATATTTGTGGCTGCGAAAAACATTTGTGCCGCAATATTTTTTGATGAACCATTAAAAGGAAATTACCAAAATCGCACGGCAGTCTTTAGCTTGCTTCTACTAACTTCTAACTTATCGCACGGCTATTCATTCCTATTCAATTACTATCATTGATAATTAAAGAAGATCTTGAAATCTAGCTCGAACGATTAGCTCGGATACTTAATTCTTAAAGTTCCTATAAATTGATTGCTCAGCAAATTTTATTAAAATGTCTATTTTCAAGTATCAGTTTCAACTGTGTATTGGTAAAGGAAACTTTGGCGACGTTTACAAAGCAACAGAAGTGTCATCAAAAGCTTTGGTGGCTGTGAAGGTGATAAATCTCGACGAAACTAATGAAGACATTCAAGTTCTTATCCAAGAAATACAATTTCTCTCAAGATTGCATTCTCCATACATCACAAAATATATCGAGACTTTTATTAGTGACATGTCTATGTTCATTGTCATGGAGTACTGTGGTGGTGGTTCTTGTGCTGATTTATTGAAATTTTGCAAGAAACTACCGGAGGACGTGGTAGCTTATATTATTCGAGATGTCTTGAGAGGGCTAAACTATTTACATCAGGAAAAGAAAGTTCACAGAGATATTAAATCTGCTAATATTTTACTAACGGAAAAGGGAGAGATCAAGCTTGCCGATTTTGGTGTAAGTGGGGAGATAACGATGACACAATTGAAGCGGAACACATTTGTAGGGACACCTTTCTGGATGGCACCAGAGGTTATCACTAGAAGAAAGAGCGGCGGATACAACGAGAAAGCCGATATTTGGTCGACCGGTATAACGACTATTGAATTAGTGACCGGTTCACCTCCGTTATCCCAATATGATCCTATGAAAATTCTATTTGAGATTCCAAAGAACAAGCCTCCTATATTGACGGGCTACGATTTCAGTGAAAACATTAAGGATTTCGTCAAATATTGCTTACTTAAAGACCCTAGAAAGAGACCAAGCTCTGCGAAATTGTTACATCATCGATTCATCACCAGTGTTAAATCAAGTATAAACTTGGCTAAAATAATATCGCAGAAAAATGAGTGGTTTGAATTGCATAACAAGGCATCTAAGAAGCCGAGACATGACATATTTTCAAAGCCAGATAAGACGAACTCCATAAAATGGGACTTCAATACGTTTAAGTCATTTCATAGCTCAAAAATGCAGCAAACTCTTGTCAATTTGTACAAAGATGTTTCTCCATATTTTGACGAAAATTCCAACGAGAGCTTAGGATCCCCATTATCAGATAGCTCTCCCAATCCAATGGCAGATGATTCCCAAGTCGCATTAAAGTCAATTGCAAACTCTCCCATGTCATCACCTTTGGACCCATACGTCGACTTAGAGGGAAGAAAATCCATCAAACCATACCATCAAAAAGCGCACCAACAAAATACTCCCCATCCTCAAGTTACTGCTAAAGGAACCCTTGAGGAATCTCCTGGAAGTCCTGGAAATAGATCAGTGCATCCCTCAAATGGCCACCGCGTATCTAAAGGAGAGATCCTTTTCTACTGTCTCGAGCAGGTTTATATTAGAGGAAGAAGCGATACTACGAAGCGCACGGTCCACAGCTTGATCAATAATCTTCTAGAGTATGAAATGAATCAACCAGGGTTGAGTGAAGCTATCGTTGAGGAAGTACTTCAGTTCGGAAGTCCCCATGTATGATATGCAAAGCAATAAAAATCACCACTAATTTAGTAAATATGTGCCATAATGAGCACTTTAATATTTTTGCTTTGCATCTTGCTCCCCAAAGATCATCACGGTATCCTTAGTCTTTTATCTATAGAAGAATGCTCTTCGATTTAGTAATATCGATTTCAATCTCCTTTCTTTTTGTAGACTCGCATTTATGCATACTCTCCACGTTTATTATAGCGCAAGAGTTGCGCTCTTCATTTGTATCCAAGATTTTGCGATGGTGAATTTATGCCAATATAAGATTCGAGTACCGCGTTTTCGTGTTCCCGATAAGACCCTTAAAAAATCACCTTGTTGATTTTTACATCAACTCAATCACTACAAGAAGTCATCACTATAATAACAAAGAAAGTGTAAAGTGGTTATATAGATAGCAAGGACCACTATGACACTTGAGCTGTCATTCAACACCTTTCTTCATCCGCCTGAAACACCCAAAACTTCACGAAATATTGTCAACAAGGCAGGCCATGACAGGCTAGGAGTAGAGAGATTGGGACCAGGTATAACGCCACCTTTTAGTTTTGGACTAGGATTTCTGCCATCATTTCAATTTTCTTCTCCTCGTGGAGTAGGGACGTTTAATGCACTTTCACCTCAGAGGTTCTTTCAAACTTCAAGCAGCTTAAGCAAAGCAGTCAACGAAGGCCGTAATGTAGGCCATGAAGATCAAAGCAAAGGGAGCATCACACGTCAAAGCATCGGGAGTGAACCCAAGAACAACAAGGAAGATTCAGTTAGCGAAAAAGTTGAAGACTCTGTACTTTCGACACAACAAGAGAGTGATCGCATACGCCTGCAATCTTTGTCCTCAGAACCAGCTCAAAGTAAGCGAGACGTGTCCAACGAAACTACAAGCTCTAAGACCAATTCTATCGATATATGGTCTTCCTTGGGACAAGATAGTAGCCATACCTTTGATACAATTTACGAAAATGAACAAATGTCATTTTTGACACCGAAAAAGTTGCTCTTATCGAAGAGAAATTTAGAAGGTATACCAGGTTCAAAAGGAATCCCCGAGCTTTCAGAAGTGACCCTGACGCCCCAACAGCATGGCATAAGGGCTTTGAAAAGAGCAAGAATAGATTCTTTTGCGCCAGGTGTCACAGAATCACCCAACACTTCCATTGCATCACAAATCGAATCAGCTATAGAGTCTCCAGTAAATCGAAAACGTCCCACTTCTCAGAGTGTTTCAGAACCACTAGGAGATAAGGTATGGAATCGCGACTTAGATGATATACTTATACAGTCATACGTTAAATACACCCAGTTTTTGGGAGATTTGAGTCATGATTCAAGTGTATTGAAAAGCACATCACAAAATAAAGTGCTTTCAAGAATGCTTTTGCATAAAACAGGGATTTTGAGGACAGCAAAGCAAATATCATCAAGGTTGTTTCGGTTAAGCAAACTCAAGAAAGTAAAGAAAATGAAATTGAATATGAAAATGAGAATGGAGGACGAGAATATGGCTCATCCAAAAGCGGGTCTATTTGATGAATCTGATATAGGAAATGCGTCCTTTGAAAATATCTTACCGGAAAGTAATAATGAAACTGCCGACTCGGTTCTTGACAAAGAATTGGCTGTTTTATTATCATCACCAGTCTTGAAGGAAGAAAGTTTGGCTTCATCTCCTTTTGATGAAAAACAACCTAAACAACTTTATAAGTTGTCTCCCCAAGCTTATCAAGTTTCTTTCATCGATAGGCTTGACTCTCATTTATCTCATCAATTCATACAGTTAGAAAAAACTTCAAGCACATCTTTAGATAAGGTAGCTTTAAGAATAAAATTGAATGACTTTGTCGATATGAGAGACTCTAAAGACATTGCAAATGTTGTCACTAAGAAAAAGGTTCCTGTCTGGTGCGTGGAGAATAAATTACAGTTAGCGAATGATAATTTAGCTACATCAAATATGTCATTTACTGACACTGCAACTCGCATGAACTTATCGAGAGGCTCTTTTGAATCATTCATGAAAATAAATGTCAAGATCCCTGTTTCATCTAAGAAATCTGTCTTGAATTGGCATTGTATAAATAAAGTCTTTCGAGGGCAAAAGTTTTTATTTGAGACAACGAATATGATTAATGGTTATCCTAGCAGCAATGGATATGACTTAGAAATTCCATTTCTTAAACAATTTCTAGGAGGATACTTTACTTATTTGAATAATGGATCAGTCGAATCTAATTTGGATTTGTCTGTGGTACAAATAATATTTGAAAACAAGCATTCTTGTGACCCTGACTTTAACGAGAATGACTCAAATATCTTTGCATACATTCTTCATGGATTCAGCATTCCCAAAGATGAGGAAAAAACAGGATCAACAATTGAAATGGTGGATCTAATAGACGATGAAGATATAGACGATGACAATGCTACCGTTTTAGCAGTCTCATCACCATTCAGTTCGCCGTTTTCACGAAATCAAGATACAGATTTGAAGAAAATACGCAGAGATTCATCAACGCCGAGAAAGAATTCCGAAGGAGCTATACCAATCTTCAACGCCGATATTGTTCAAAAATTCAATCTTGGAATGCTAAGACATCAAATGCAAAATAATTATCAGAACCGAAATTCCAGTGACAGCCTGAATCTGAAACCCATTCATTCGTTGAACGATGTCGCTGGAAGATCTAAGAGACTGACGGTATCTATAGCCCCTGGTCCACAAAACAATCAAAGCCCACCACACATTAGTATATCAGCCCCCATACCACAGCTTTATGAGCCTGTGAAAATGTCGATTTCTCAGCATGTGTCTCCAGTCTTGCAAACTCCTCAAGGATTAATGTCAAGTAATGCAACAGAATTTACCCCATTCCAACAGCAGGTCCATCATGCGCAGCATCAGTATGTTTACAACAATGGAGTCTTACCTCCTTCGATGCTGAGACTCAGTGCAACTGGATTGTATTCGGCACCTGCTACTCAAACACAGTTTTTCCCGTCGGCACCGCCCAAGTCAATGGATATTCGACCACTTTCTCCCTCTACTAGAGAAGAAAAGGAGTATAAAGAGAACAAGGAAAACAGCAATCCCAAAGAAATCAAGTTTGGTCCGATCCTTGGCTATGATCCTTCGAAAGAGCTGAATCATATCTCTGTTGCAAAACACAATAAACCTTCAAAATCTGGTTTACATAGCTTCCCTTTAAATAATCAAGTCATGTACAAACCCAAGAAGTGAAAACAACATCCCTTATGTCTACCTTATATATGAATATATGCATTTTTACAAAGCACTTCATTTCTAGTTTAATAGTGTTCTATACAAAAGAGTTCATAGTAACACAAGTCGTATTTTAGGCGACCAAAACAAAGGGACCGGTAATTTTTACGGCAAACAAAGTCTTCATAATTTCACAGCACTGGGGCAATCAACGAAAAACTGCCCAGTAATACGTCAGTGATGGCTTCAGTAAACAGCTCGTCCCAGGAGATCCAGCCGGCCTCTCGACAGTTTAAATTGGTTTCTGTTAGTTTCAAGGAAGCAGCACTAGACTCTCCAAGTTTTCGAGCTACAGTAAACCATTTAGATATTCAAATTGATAATGTGGAAAAATGGCTTGTTGCCTTGTCTAGTTCTGTGAGGAAGATACCGAAATATGTAAAGGAGTTGCAGATGTTTTCCAATTCCTTTTTAGAGCATTTATTGCCAACATTTTTGCAAGAAGGGTTGATCGACCAAGAATATACCGTTGGGACTTTAAAGGATTCATTAGTTCAATTAAGAAAGCTTTGGAGAATAAGTTTAGAAGCTCTTAACGTTAACCCCCATGTCATCGAATCATTGTCTCATTCGGTATCTAGGAGCATTCATAAGTATAAGGAAATTAGAAAAAAATTTGAAGCCACACAGGAGAAATACGATACTTATTTGGCTATATTTGTAGCTACTCCTAAGGCAAAGGGCGCAGAGTCAGTGATAGAGGATGCTCGGCATTTGTTCGATGTTAGGAAGGAATATATCCATTGTTCACTCGAACTTATGCGGTCGTTGTCAGACTTGGGAAATTGTTTGGACAAGCACTTAGTTAAAATGATATTTAACGTCTGGACTACTAAAATGCATATTTTCAATGGTGATTTTGACTTTGTATCTGAGCAGGCTAAAAAGGTTCAAAGGGTACAAACGTGGTGTGATTATTATAATGGAACCATCGAAAAGATGTATAATGATATGCAAATGGCAAGAACTCAAATTGAGGAAAGTTCAATCAATCAGGTAATTCCGCCTACGAATCCTGATCTTTATAATATTTCTCTTATAGATTACCATTCCTTGAGAGATATCGATGAACCGAGTACAGAAAAGCATGGATATTTATTTATGAAAACTTGGATTGATAAATCCTCCAAACCGATTTGGGTGAAAAGATGGTCATTTATCAAAGGTGGTTTATTTGGCATGCTTTTACTTAGTCCCTCTCAAACTTTCGTCCAAGAGACCGACAAATTTGGTATACTATTGTGCCATGTTAAATACTCTCCTTCTGATGATAGAAGATATTGCTTCGAAGTGAAGACGGCAGACGTTAGCATCACTCTTCAAGCTGAGACTCTCTTCGAATTGAAATCCTGGCTAAAGGTATTTGAGAATGAGAAAAATAGAGTCATGCAAGAGACTACTGAGAGCATATTGAGGAGCGTATCTTCTGGAAGATACCCTCCAATAGTAATGGAATTTGCTTCAACAGCCAATACAACAGTCGACAGGGAAATTGTAAGTCAAAGAATTTTGAACGCTTCAGGTCAAATAGTCACATCGAGTAGATTATCTACTCACATAGAGAGAAATGAGAAGTATTTTCAGAAGCATATTTATTACCAAATTCCAACAATAAGACCACCTATAATGACAGATACAACAAAATCATCAATTATTGCCTATAGCTTCGCTGCTACCAATACACTTCCTACCGCGCTAACTGCTAATATTTGGGGTTCTGTGAACTGGGGACTCTATTACTTGCATACTCTGTTAGAAAGTGAAGAGGATATGAATGACGATGCGATTGATCAAGATTTAGTTGACAAGGACCTTAGTGGCTCACGGCTTTATCCTGATTATTATCCATATGAACTAGCTCCACTAGATATTCAGTTGAGAGCTCTTTTTGAAACCGCTGTTGACCCTGGTGAATATTGTTTACTTTCATTTAGATGCATTTGGGCTCCAAATTCAAGACAAGAATTGAGTGGAAGATGTTTTATAACAAGTAAGCATATTTACTTTTACATGCAAATATCCGGATTTGTTTCACTATATAAGGGGCTAGTCAGGCATCAGGTGGCAGTAGATTGTATTCATCAAAAAGACTTTGATTTATTAAAAATATTTTTCATTGAAGGGCTGCTTAAAGTGAAAGTGTTTATGGATGACGGCTTTTTAATAAAGCAAAAGATGATATATTTAATTAACAATAAGGCAAGCGAAAAGCCGAAGGGGCTCGAAGATTTGATTGGAGGGTTCAAACACATAGAGGAAGCTCACTATGAAAGTCTTTTAGAGAAGAGTGATGCTAACCGTAAGTCAATTGATTCGATCCTGAGAGCAGATGCAGATTTTAAGTCATCTTTTACGAATGCTAAATCAGGACCGTTTCTTGATAAATATAAAGTTGATTTCAGAGAGGAGGGAAGAAAGGTTTTCGAAAAAGTATACAATCTACCACCTAAGGCTCTATTTCACTCGTTTTTGGGCGATAATTCCATAATATTGAAGGTCAAATCACCATTAACAGCCCTAGATTCTTTGGTGAAAAAATCTTGGTCAGTGAAACCGAACGGACATATGCAAAGAAAAATAAATCTGAAGGTGACTTATGCCAGTGGGAAAAAAGGGACAATGCAATTGGAGCAAGTCATTGATAACATAGTTGAAAATGACTACTACACCTTTACGTATAAAAAATCATCTTTCCAACTTTTCGTAGGATCTTCTTTCACAGTCAAGTATAGAGTTGTCATTGTTGGTATATCTGGAAAACGGAGTAAGATCTATATCTATTCTAAAAGGGATTTCTCCAAATCGAGTATTTTTAACATGCTCATTGATGAAATTACGTATTATTTAGATGTGAATCAAATGAAAAATTTGGATAAGCAGCTTCAAGGAGTCGTTGATCAAATTGGAACTCATGGTATGATTGTGAAGGCAATATATTTTTATGGTAAGCTTAGTTACACGGATAAGTTTGAAGACGTTGACCTCCCAAAGCCTTTAAAGTTTGGGTTGGTAAATATTCTGGTGATATTGTTGAAGAAGTTCATACTTACATTTTTGTTCATACTCTCTTACGTCATTCAAATATTTGCAAATGGACTAATTACTTTTGTCCGGGGAGTCAGGATGAATCAAATTTTAATTTTGGTGCTCATGGGTTCAGTCTTTTTCAATTTTTATTTGGTAGGAAGGTCTACGCTTTCCTTTTGGACTGTGAGAAGTGCAGATAAAATTGCACATAAGTATTTCACGGCAGAGCCTCTAATGCTACAGCGTGCATTATACGCCAAAGAAACGCAGGATCTCATAGAAGAGAACTTTGGGCAAAAGCAGACGAACGTGTCACATAGTAGATGCTCACAAAGGTACAGGGAAATATCTTTTATTTTGAATTTCGATAGAACAGTAAGATGGACCGTTGACTACGCCGATGATAATACTAGAGAAGTTGCGAGAAGTCTCAGAATGGCTTTCCAAGAAGTTGGCATCAAAAGAAATGAACTTATTGTCAAACTAAACATGCTTAATTCAATGGAAAGGGAAATAGCGAATGGAGAGTGGAAAAATTGGTTATCTAGCGAAATATTAAGATGTGAGTATATCAAGGAAAATGTTGTTGAGTTCATTAATAACTCAGAATCTACTTCGGGTGATATTCAATCCGGAATAGACTCTATTCTTGAGTATTGTATGGGATGTTCAGAAGATTATAAGCGAGCTGCTGAGCTCCTTTAGAGTGTATATAAGAAAATTTCCTTAAGTAGTGCTTAATAGACATTAATACTAGATCGCTAGTATTGAAGTGACATTGAATTATATGTTTGTGAGGAAAGCTGCTAAGCTTGAAAGAGCCTCAATTGTCTCGATACCATTTCAAAGAAGATGGGTACATATTCCTTTGGTGATTGAAGGAAAAGAGGTCAGTACAGGTGAAAGCAGTCCAGTTTTTTCACACGAAGCGCCTTATAAGGTTATTCAAACATATAGCTTTTTAAATTCAGGGACTTTTGCGTCAACAGTTCCAAGGATTTGCGCTGCTTCGGACGTAGGATTCCAAGAATGGTCTTCTAAAACCTTCATTGAAAGGATAGAAGTGATGAAAAAAGTAAGTGACCTATTGAAGAATAGAAAAGATGAGTTCGTGAAGGCACACCAAGAAATAGGAGGGCCTGAATGGTTCTCTAACTTCAATATTAACCATTTAATCTTGCAAATTGAGCTTTACATAAGTCAAATATCGCAACCAGAGGGTGAAGTGGCCAAAGCTCTAATTCCCCTGCTCGCAATGACAATTAGACAACCTATGGGTTCCATCTTATCAATGGCACCTTGGAATGCTCCAGCTATATTATGTGGAAGGAGTATAGCAGCTCCATTGGCAGCTGGATGCTCTGTTGTTCTCAAGTCCTCGGAGAGGGCACCTCTTATATCCTATTTATTGGTCAAGGTGTTTCATGACGCTGGTATACCACCGAATGCTTTACAATTAGTTCATACGAAACCTGAGGATTCAGAAACCTTTGTTGATGTCATGCTATCTAATCCTCTCATAAAGAAAGTAAACTTTACTGGATCTACAGATGTTGGTAGGAAGATCGCAATTACGGCAGCTAAATATTTGAAACCTACGTTACTTGAGTTGGGAGGCAAAAACTACTCCATTGTCGATAATCCTCTAGATTTGAAACAGTCGGCCCAAAATATTCTATGGAGTGCTTGGTCTCATCAGGGTCAGATTTGTATGTGTATCGACAGTGTCTACATTCACGAGTCAATTTATGACGATTATTGCGATGAGTTGCTTCGCTGTGCTCAAACTTTGGTCCGAGACCCAGTCTATTCTATTCCTCAAAGAGACACGTCACAGGTAGACAAAATAATGGACTTAATTGATGATGCTTTGCAAAAGGGAGCGATAATGTTATACGGGAAGAGAAGTGATGAAGATACAGGTTCGGTCATTCATCCTATGATTTTAAAGGATGTTACATCTGAAATGAAACTTGATTCCACAGAATCTTTTGGACCCATTTTGACAGTGTATAAGTATACTGATAAAGAAGAGGTTGTTCAAACATTGAACAAGGCGACGAGCTGCTTGAAAGCATCAATATGGTCACATAACATAAGTGAAGCAATTGCGCTTGCAAAGAAAATCGAGTCAGCTGGGGTTCATATTAACAGCTCTACTATTTATGATGAGCCAACACTTCCACATGGTGGTTTCAAAGAGAGTGGTATGGGAAGATTCAATAGTTCATGGGGATATGAAGAATTTACCTACACGAAAACACTTACAATAAACTAATAGTACCTTCGCCAATGTAATTTACTATAGTTCCTAACTCATTTATAATAAATTTATTGAATGGTTTTCCATAATGTCAGAAATATGCATCGATCCTTTTAAAAGCCTTTTTTGGCTAAGCTATCAGCAATACTTGAATATAATGCTATAGCATTGAATTTTGGGTTTTCTTGAAATACAACCTTATCGAAAGCTAATCTTGCTCGATTAGTCCAATTTATTAGATCTAAATGATCAACCTGATCCAAAGTACCTAAATACTCACCCCATTTTGCACTTTCGACGCTTACCATGCCATCATTATCTGTCGATATATGTGTATGCTCTCTTTTATTTCTTAGCTCTATACTCCGTCTAATGATGCGCCAAGTAACGTTAAAGAGATTATACCATTTCGGAGTGAATCTTGCTCCATAAGAAAAATAAGACACGGAAGGATCATTTTGAATTTCTTCGTTGAATTTGACTAGGTTCTGAGTAGTAAGCTCCTTTACCGAGGGAAAGAGCTTTTGCATAGCAGTGCTGTTTTTGAAATGATCCATAAAGAAATCGGCACACTCAGATCCGTGGTGTGGAGTCGAAATTGTAGTTAAAGAAACTACTTCATAATCTCGCTGCTTTAGTTTCGAAATTAAATATCTACTATCCAACCCACCCATTGAATGACTTATCAAGTTGACTTTGATTGCCTTGCCTTTTTCTGATGAACCTTTCCCATTATCTGCAGATTCATCTTTCCCGGATGGATAAATGCTAGCTGCTTTATAGTTTTTTCGGAGTTCTTTAAAGCGGCGGTTTATAAAATCATTTAAACTCGAAGCTCTATCTTCAATTGAAGCAAATGGGGGAACTTTTCCAATCATAACAGTACATCCAAACTTTTGCAAGGCATCCTTAATCCCATACCAATAGTCTAGTTCTATTAATCCATTATTAATCGTTCTTTTGACATCCTGGTTCAAATCCTGTGTTGCAGATTGCATCATTTTGGGTTCTGAAAAAAATGTAAGTTTATCAAATCCAGAAAACCCATGACATAAAACAATCGGATATCTTGGGGAGTCGTATTTATCTCTAAGTTTGCTAAATTTTTCTATTATCAATTTGCTCCTGTTAGTTGCTACATCATTAATCTTCTTATTAGTTGCATAGGATGCATCTTTATATTCAGGTATTCCTGATCGAAACCTTAGTGAAGTCCTAACAACATGAAACTTAGACGACCTCTGTGCCAATCTAGGAGCTTCTGTGACAATCTTTATCATTAGTTACAGTAGCATAGAGTAATATCTCCGCTTGCATTGTCACAGCTGGTTTTGGGGTACTCAGCATCGGGTCATAGTGTCTTGTAAAAGCTTATTTCATTCTATATGCAGTACGATATTTCATATCGTTTATGGTAAACCTCAATTAAGCAGATTACACGTCTTTGGTAGCGGTGTACCAACTAAGTCCCCTAAAAATACCGACGGGAGGCTGGCTACTACTAAATTTTTTGAACACTCGGACACTCGTATTATTAAATTACTTTATTAACTTTGTATTATTAATCTCTAATCCATTCTTACCGTTGTCAAGAGACGGGACAATTAAGTAATCAGGTTAGCTCTTCGCCTGCCCTGCGAAGTAAGAAATCTCTACTCTTTAAGTACCAAATCACCCAGCTTGGAACAGACCAGCCAAACACTTTACCGACACCAGATTTTCTCGTAATCGGAACTAATTCACTGGCTTCGTGCGATTTATAGGCTTTTAAGGTAACTGCCTCTTCACCAAATATCTCTTTTCTGACAGCCGATTCAAAGACAGCTCGCTGATAAAATTTTATGTCCACAAAACTGCTCTCCCCGATGGACAAGATGTCTCCAAGTGCTAACACATTGTGATATTTCTTGACTCTAAAATGCTCATCTGTAAGAAGATATCCTTGAGAATCAAGAAATTCATCATCTATAAATTGTGAATTTGGTTTCAATCCTGAAGCAGGTATAATCAAATCGAATTTCTCTGAAGATCCGTCGCTCAATTTTGCTACATAACCATTCTTATCCTTCTCGTATGAGCTTATCTTGGTGTTTACAACTTCGACGTTGCAAGATTGTAATAATTTAAGGGCTTTATCAGACGCTTTTTGTCCCAAAAATGATAATGGTCCTTTGGAACCCGTAAACAATTTGATTTTCTTCTTGGTTCCATAACTAAAACCTAATTCACCAGCAACTTCAACTCCAGTTGACCCTCCTCCAATTACGCAAATACTTTGAGCAGCAGCAGCATCAGAACTGAGAGTTTTGGCGGCTTCGATACTGGTTTGGTAGTCATCCTTCAATTTAAAAGAAGCGTTTTCTGAAGAGGAGCCTGATGCGATTATCAAGTAGTCGTATGTTAGTTTACGCTCACCTTTAGCTGTTAAAACTTGGACGCTATTGGTACTAAAGTCAGACGAAGTGACGGTTCCTTGGATAAATTCACATGGCTTACCATTTGAGCGTCTTTTAAATGCCTTTTCCACCGAAAAGTAAGTCTTTTCAATATTCTCAGGCTCAATAATTAGTCTTGGGCTGGCAACGCAAAAAAACGATTTTGACGAGGCAGAAACTAATGTGACCTTCGTAGGAGTCTCCTTTGAAAGTTTAAATATCATATCTGCAGCAGCCAATGCAGCAAAAGAGCCACCAATTATTAAAACTTCACAAGGCATCTTTAAGACAATAATATTCTCTCCAAATCAAAACTGAGATTTGAATGGGGTTCTATATAAATAACTTGCCAATTTTTAATTGTTAATGCTATTTTCCAGTAAAAATTAGTAAGCCCTTGCCATTGAAGAGTATATATCCACACATTAGGACCGAGTAAAATGTATTTCATTATTGACAATTAGCCAATGAGACATCTTTAAAAATTCAAACGGAGCTGAAGGACGGTATATTTTCACATCCCTGTGTCTAACAATTAATAAGCCATCATGCTACCTCGTTATTAGTAAATTGTTGCAATGCAATAGAAGATCTTACTAACATTCGAATGAAACTTGGTTGAAAAATCATACCCTTTTGGGTGTTAACGAGCCGCACACGGAGATGAGACACGGAACTGGTACTTTTATGGTGCGGAATCCAAGACTTCGTGATTGTAAGCGGAATATACCCACGGAGAGCCTCAACTAAGTAAAGCTTGTCATTGATACAAACAATCCTCTTATAATAAATTCTATTTAATCTTATTTTAAAACCTTGATTAATACAGACACCAAATTGAGAAGAACCAAATTGATGCAAACATTCTGAAATGGCCACGCAACTAAGGTCAAGATCTCATTTTTTTTGACTATAACTATGCCCCAATACTGGAAGCACCCTTTCAGCCAATGGAAAAGCAGATTTTATTGCAGCTGTGGCTCTTTTCTGTATAACGACTCTTGTAATTGCACCCATTCCTTCGAGTGACACCCTGTGGAATTTGTGCCCTCTTATGAAGGCAAAAGTGCTATTTTCTACACTGTAAATGCATTTGCATAAATCTTAAAACAACTCCAAATACAAGACCATTCACCTCCATTGATTCATAGGCATGCGTTTGTCATAAGTCATTCATCTTCATTTCGTATTCCTCATCTTCGTTTTAGCTTATCACGTGACTGTGTATATTCTATGATTCTGCTTATCTCATAATGAGAAAGAAAGAGTAGTATTGTAGTAGTGATCAATACTCAAAGATGTTAGCAAAGAGAAGGCAGAAATCAAGTAAAGCATGCTCCTTCTGTAGGCGCAGAAAGATAAAGTGTGATATGGGGCAGCCCTGTTCTAGTTGTATGAAGTACGGTTGTCTAGATTGCAACTATGACTCTCTGAAAACGATGAGAATGACTGAAGAAGAAGCTACCGAGAACCGTCGTGAAAAGGTGGAGTTCGAGATATCTATGCTTGAAAAGCGAATAAGCGAGCTTCGAAGCTCAGTTAGTGATGATAATGAAACGATAAGTTGTAGCAACTGCTCTATGACTCCAGATGTTTCCTTAGGTATGACCATCCACAGACAGCTGATTTTAAAATTGCCAGAAAATGATGTTATCAATTTTTACGACGGATATTTCTCAAACGAGATGGAGCAATCACGAATAAGTGGAAAGGGTCCGTTGTCGTGGTTTTCTTTAATGAAAATTGATTTGTATTTAAGTACTGCCTGGTTACGTTTAGTAGAAACTGAAGACTTGAAGCATATTATATTGGAAGGAAAGAATACCTCAAAGCTCAAAGGAAAACAAATAATGCAACTGTTCCCAATTGATTCACATACAAACTACAAAGGACAACTTATTTCTTCTTTTTCATCTGAAGATTCACATGATTGCTCTCAGTCCGATAGATCATGGACCGGAGCGTCTGATTGTGAAGTGGATATGGAACTAATTAACAAAATTCAAAGCGTTATCCCTAAAATGGGAGTTATAAAGTTGTTAGTTGATAGGTTTTTCAGTCATATAAATGGTATGTGCTCTGTATTTATAGAAGCAAGCTTTCGAGAGAGAATCAAAAGCTTATTAGGGCAGGTTTGCAATGATGATACAATACCAAAGATCATGGTGCGAACTAGAAGGGACTTAGTTTATATGGGTTCACTTCTAGTCGCTTTGAGGTTCTCATACTTGTCATTGTTCACATGCACTGGGGAAATTCACGCATATGAAACTTCAGATAGTGAACGACGCCAACAACTAATATATATGATTGGACAGCCAATCACTTTGGATTTAATTGAGGTAGCCCGGAGCTGTCTAGATCAATTTGATTTATCGAAGGAGATTGATCTTGCAATATTTCAGTTTGTTCTTTTAACCAGAATTTATGAACAGCATGCCCCTGAAGTGAGTGATGTTATAGATAAAGGAAAGTCACAGATAAATTTATCTACATTGTTTGAGCTAGCATTTTCATTAGGACTTGAAAGGGATCCTCGAAATACCGACATCTTCAGCCATGAGAGTGAGGTAGAGTTGAGAAGAAAGCTTTGGTTTCTCTTACTTATTTTAGATGTGAATGGCACCATGTCAAATGGCTCTCCTCTTAATTGCAGCAAGTTTTCCTTTGATACACATCTACCAAATTTGTCAGATTTTAATGTTAAACATGGTAATTCATCGAGGCGAGCTTCACGTTTGGACTCATATTCCCATTTTGAATATTTGTTCTCTCTTATACGACTTATAACCGATGTAAGAGGTGTCAAGGCAAGTCAAATAACAGAAGAAATCTCCTCTAGAGAGAGGGCATTTCCTAACTACGATCGTATAAGAGAACTGATCTATTCTAGTCCTCTAGTTGGCGAGCCGCTGTTCAAAAACACGGTGATTGTGGAAATTTATCTGCGAGGAAGTGCATTTTTGCTAACCATATTCTTCCATTTTTTCATTCATTTCGAAAGGAAAAGAAATGAAAGTTTTTGCAGTTTCTATTTCAAAAGAGTTGTTATCAAGATAAGAGGTTTCTTGGAAGCAGTACACGATTTGGTAGAGAACAATCATATCATCTTCGAACATTCCTCAGATCTTTTGGCAATTCCATCAATTCAATTATTAATTCATAAGTGTCTTATATGCTTGTCTGCAATAATAATTAGAATCAATTTAATGATCCGAAGAAACAGTCATAATCATAGGAAGAATCTAGTCGATACTAAGTACAATCTTCAATATGAGAAGAATTTAGAAACATTTAGTAAGTTGCTTCAAGACTGTTATCAGTCCTTTTTGGGAATAGCCCAGAAAGTAGGTCATAAGAATTATTATTCATCTGTCATTGATACAATCCAGCAGGGAGTATTGGATACTATTAATTCACAAGATTTCTGTAAGCCTTTAACTTGGGGAACAACATTCATAAACATACCAAACGAACAGCTTACTGAATTATGTCAAGAATTTGCAAAAACTTTGGAAACTGTTGAAACGACGAATAGTACTAAAGTTGCAAACAATTCTTCTGTCGAAGAAACTGGAGTGTTGGACGAGTTTACTGATCCTAATAACTTCACAGGCAATACAGGCATGAACGAGTTTTCAAATATGGACTACGAAGATACATATGCGAAACAACTTGATCCACTTTTTAGTGATTTTACTACGTTAGCTGGAGATGTTCTAGAGCCTTCCATTTTCCCTCTGAGTCTTGCCGTATCTGAATTTAATGATTTATAACTTTGTTTATCATTTAGTTTAATTGTTGAAGCACTCAAGAGGTAAAGTCTTTGTTTTAAATATTGGAAAACTCCTGAAGGATTTGTTTATTCACTGATATGTTGCCAAATCGATAGCTAATGATATGTTCAGTGTGAATATTTCATGACTAGCCTTTTGTAATTAAATAGCTTCGTCATTTAATACACCTATTTCGGTGTCCAAAGCTTTGAATTATTTGAACATCATAAAAGAATTGATGATGAACGTATTTTCACCTTTGGCTAACCTTGTTCAAGTGAGTTTTATCTAAAGAATTATTCATAAATGGGATGCTAAGCAACAAAAGTGATGAATGAGTATACCTCATTATTATTCTTATTGACTTATAAAATAAATATGCTAAATTACATGTCACTAACAGACTTAACTAATAATTTTTTGACAGGACCAGCGAAATTCAAGGTTTTCATACCGAAACCTCTCAAAAATACAATAGGAGGCCAATCAGTAGAAAATATTTTATGAAGTTTATCACAAATTCCTAATAAGCTATGGTTTGATGGCCATGAATTTGAAACATACTTTTCTAATACCAAAGTGGAACCAATGTCCAATCCCCTATCTACTCCTGTTTCCAATGCATCCACTAAGCTTGCTACATCTGATTGTCCCATATTTAGTCCCTGACCTGCCAATGGGTGGATTGTGTGGGCAGCATCACCAATGAGAGCTACTCTTGGAGAAACATACGTGTCTGAATGAGACATTTTTAAGGGGAACCTAGCTCTGCTGCTTGATATAACACTTACGACTGGTAGAGGGTACTTTTCTTCAAGATCAGAAAAACTTATTCTTGATCTTCTCCATTCAATTTCGTCTAACACAGCTCTATCATTAGGATCCTTTTTAAGCATTCCGTAGATATAATTGAGATCAACTTCTTCGAGTGTCATAGCTGCATTTATCAACAGGGGAAATATCTCAGGATCTACTTTCAATAAGATTTCAGATAATTCCGGTGTTGATGACCATACTATGGTAGCATTGTCCTCTGTCAATGGCAATATGGCAAGCGGTCCTGTCGTCAAAAATCGTTGCCAAGCTATGGACCTATAGTCTTCGCATTGTAGTTTTATAGTAGCAACAACACCGAATGCATTATAGCCCCATCCTCTCGACTCAATTCCTGAATATTTGCGGACTGGTGAATTATAACCATCAGCTCCTACTAGCAATCTGGCTCTGATGATTTCTCCATTTGATAGCTCAATTGTCGGCCAATCCAAACTCCCTTCCCCTTCAATGGTTTTTAATTCGTTCAAATCATGGGCATCAAGGTTATCCTCCGAAGAATTGAAGATATTAATGACTTTTGTCTTCTCTAATATCGTTGCTTTTTCGTCTAGTGACTCATTTAATTCATCTAATTTCTTCAACAAAGAACTCTGAATATTCAAATTTTCACACATTGCTGCAATCACACCATGCTTGCTGCCACTAGAATCAAAAGAAATACGGGATTCTGAGTTTTCTGGGTCATCGTATACAATCATATTATTGTAGAACTTAATTCTATCTTGGAGCATATAGTTCCAATTACCAATTTTTTCTTGCATGAATAAAATTGATCGTGGTGTCAAAGATACTACCCTGTTGGTGTAATTCTCTGGAGGATTATCACCAAACTCCCTTATTCCGCTAAGGTCTCCCCCTTCAATCAATGTGCATTTCAAATGTCTTGTTTTTTTAGAATTTTTCAAAGTTGTTAGCAATGATAATCCAGCAGGCCCACCTCCAATGATAACTACATCCTGAAGATTCTCACTATAAGGGGATGCAGTAGTCGCTAGGTTCCTACGAAGATTCGATATAGCACTTCTCAAGAGCATTGTTTTGGTGTAATATTAGAGGAATATGAACATTTATCTAATGCCGAACTTCACACTGAACGAGCACTACTATATGTTACTTAAATAGTCTTGAAAATTGAATATAAACTCAAATACAGATAAAAATACATACGAAGATACCCTAATTTTTAGGTATATCTTCGACTTTAACCTTTCCACTTTCCACCCAATAAGGATCAATTAGTTGACCCTTTGCCTCATACATTACTTTGTACGATGTCTTAATCGTACCATCACTAACACCAGTTTTATCAGCAATCTTAGATGGAGGCAAATCAGCCCCAAATACTAAAGCTGCCATGTATATAACCGTAGCAGCAACAGTGATAGGAGATCTTCCATCTAAAACACCAACTTCTTTACATCTTCTGGCAATATACTCAGCTGCGTTTGTAACTTGTGAATTCAAACCCAAATGGGAGCAAAATCTCCTAATCAAGTCTTCAGCTGAAGTTTGAGTAGTCTGTTCATTATCCTGGATAAATGCAGCACTTGGATTGGCAGCATTCTTTTCTTGAATAATCTTATTCATGATTTTGAAAACTTTTCCAATCTCTTTTCTTGGTACATTTGTAAGTGCCCATATCTCCTTAAACGTACGGGCCACCTTTGCTTTACGGCAGCCAATGAATATTGCAGCAGCCATGATAGATTCCTGAGACTTTCCCTTAAGAGGTCTTTCTTCGTAGACCAACTTGTAGACTTCTTTCGCACCATCTTGCACAATCCTTGGTAACTGGTACCCATCGCACATCTGCGAAATCTTCGAATACGCAGCCGCCAATGCATTATCCTTCCTATCAACCAAGGACATTGATTGGGCTCTATTCAACTCCCTCCCGACTCTCGTGTTTTCGGGAATATAGGAAATCATAGTGGTCAAGTCTTCAGAATCCATCAACGGGTTCCCAGCATCTCCAACACGGCTCGGATCATCCCCATTCTGATCGTCATTGCTAAACGTTCTCCATTCTGATCGCGTATCAACAACTCTATCACTTAGAACCAACCCACAGCTACCGCAAACAATGTCACCTTCACTGAACCTTTCAATCAAGTCCGGAGGATACTTCTTGCAGTCTGGGCACGTTAATGTGATGTTCAAATTAGGCCCCAGGAAAGGTTCAGCGCCCTCCATCATGACTTGAGTGCTTCCATTTGACATATTCTCTCTTTTACTGTCCTTTCGCTTAACAAGTCAATAACTAAATATTGCCTTCTGTCGCTATCGGTATTCGATTAAACTTGAAGTTTTTCGAAACCTATACCTACTCAGAACTTCTCAAATCAGCCTATTACTGAAATATGATTGTTCTTGGAAAGGATGTGAAGATGAATGTTGGGTTGTGACAACAAGGATAAAGAGTAACTCCTCTTTGTCATCCAGGATATTATTTGTAATTTTATCTCACAAATGATATTTGGTGGTGTATATACCATAAAGGGCACGTGATGAATGAATGATAGGGTCATCTAGGCTGCTAAACCTTTTGAAGAACAAACATAAGGGGAACTAATAAAAGGGTATCTAGCAAGATAAACAGAAATAGTGTTGTTATTCATTGGGGAAAGGAACAGATTTTCACTCTTTCTCATTTGTCTTAGTAACATATGGCTTTAAGTTTGTCATTTTAGCAAAGAGCTTTTTTAATGGATCAAACCACCTCAAGTCCCTGAGTTGTAGAGTGGTACAGTTATTAGGATAGAAATTGTGCTCTTAAGAGTATTTAAATTCGTTTTCACTCAAGAACTTTTGATTTGGCTTTATTACTGTTATATATAACTCAAAAGTAGTGAATGCTCACTGATAAAGCAACTGAAAGATTCTTAGTATCATAAAGCTTCTCTTCTTTAAAAAACAACAATGGTTACGTTAAACTTGGATCCTATAGAGAATATTGATAATATTGACTATGGTGATATATTAGAGCAAGCAAAATCAATCATAGGTGCCATTGAGACATCATGGGGCAAAGTTAAACTATACAACCAGACTATTGATGTTTTGAAGCAAACGGTTGTGGGTACTCAAACGTATCATAAGGAGAACTTGAATGGCAGCTACTGGGCTGCTAGATGTTCAGATCTTAATGTCGATGAAAAGACGATGAAGGCGATCCATGATAAGATGTTACGTTACCTAGTTGGATCCTTTGACAAACCAGGGGAGAATCATTCTGATTATGAGAAAGAATACATTCATGAACTTTATGAAGTCTTTTCTAAGTCTGTTGATCCGAAAAATCGAGACTCGCGAGCTAATTCGTTTACTTATTTGGCGAAGGTATACTACAAATTTCAATTTCCTTTAAAAAAGAGAGTTTTTTATGAGTTAATTCATATAGTTAAACTTGAAGATAATTCTGAAGTATATATAATATCGATGGCCGTTAACCCGTCTATTTTTGGTAACGATGCAGATTCTGAATGTGTCGTTGGCAGATACACTTCTATTGAAAAGATAGCTTATGACAAGGAAAAAAAGGACCTTAAATGGATCATGTGTACGTGTTCCGATCCTGGTGGATTTGTTCCTGAATGGTTGACAAAACTCGGTATTAGTAAGGCAATTTCCAAAGATGTTCCAAGCTTTTTGGAATGGGCATTTGAATATTAAGTCTCGCCACTTAGGGAAAATGTCTCTAACCAAGATTTAACATCATCACCCAAGTTATCTAGGAAACCGAATTGTGCCTGTTCATAAACCCCATCCACGATATGGTTGAAAATACCTGATCCATTATGATCGATAGCTGATGCAGCTGATGATGTTAATCCTTGCTTTTTTGAATTTGAGACCTTGTTCCTTTGGTTTTTCGTATTATGATTTTGATTTCTCATAATGATAATAATTCTACCTTTATGTTCTATATAATAAATCATCCAATCATTAAGTCTATTGCAATTAAATTTATGAAAGTATTCGTCCAATCGTGATTGTCCAAAAAAATTATGGCTCTTAATAATGAACAAATCAATGAGAAAACCATGAAGTGAACAAATAGCGTTTTGATATTTTGAAATTGACTGTTCGCTAATACCTTGAGGGGCGAGTGATGGAAATGGTAGGAATGGGAGAGATGATTTGAACCATGATTCTTTAAGATCATAGACAATAAAGAAAAAGTTATCATCTGGTGCTTCTATCCTATTTTCATTATTTAGTCCATTCTTTAAAAGAGGGCCCATAGATTTCATTGAATTTATGCTATTACCTAATGCACTTCCTCCAATTAAAGTATTCTCTATCTGTTCTATCATTGGTAAGAAAAAAGAGTTTTGAATATCTTGATAAAACTGTAACTCGTCAAGAGAAGCTATTGATGAGTCGAATACTAAAGCGATTGCAATATCATCCTTGCGGAATAACACTAGCAGATATTCTCTTTCTGTTATCGAATCGTTTTCCTGTGCTTCTAAATATATTAGCTTCCTTTGGATTTCTGTGGCCTGTTCACCATCTTTCGTAGGCCCAATTATAAATTCCCCATGATCGTCATCCTCGTCATCAATTTCATCATAATTGTTGATATTGGTCGTTTCCACATTTTCTTCAGCTGCCCTTGCTTCAGCTGGATTTTCATTACTGCTCCCAAAGGGGTTTAAAGTAAATTTTGGTAGCCAGCTACTGTTTTCTTCCCCAGTGCTATTAGCGTTATTATTAGTTCTTCCATAAGTCATTACGCTATTCATGGAATTATTTAGTGGCAGAATGACAAGATTGTTGGTTAAAGTGATAGGATTAAGCATATCGAAAGCAGATCTGGCAAATGACTGGGAATCAATCTCCTCATTATTTGTACTATGTTCTTCTTGGATGGAGTCTGGATCTTGTCTATGACTCTTATGGCTTGATATATCCTCTGTCGAAGAAATGGAAGCGAATAAATCCAGAGTATCGGTTTTTACCAAGTGATTTGTATCTAGTTTTTCGTGATAATCGTAGAACTCAAGCCAATTATATATGCAAATAAGTGATTTATCTGTAATGAAAGTTCCATCGATGTTCTTTGAGGGATTGCTGTTTAAGTAAAGCATGCCATATTGTTTAGGTTCCTTCTTATTAAAGTTTGACACAATAATTCCACTCGGAAAATGAAGCTCATTCCTATGTGTTTCTATAATTTGATCCATTTCAATCTGGGCACTTCTTGATAGATACAAAGATGATCTTTTGTAGGGTTTTCCTGGTATTGTACCCAAAAATCCTTTGTAGTTTAAGCAATTGGGCCATACTGAGTTGGATTTTAACCGTAGCGTTCCTTGATTATAGCTCACCAAAAAGCCATCCCAAAAGTCAATAAGCTCATCCTTTAAAATACTCAAAGTATACGACTTTAACATCGCCTCGAATGAAGTGTTCATTAATTTAAAAAAACTATACGCTTGATCAATAAGCTCTTTGAACTGGACCTCTATCACATTTGATTCGTATTCATCATCGACTAATTCGAGAAAGCATGCAATATGGTAAGTTTCCTCTACCTGCTTCACCAAAATATTGGTGGACTCAGTCTTTATGACAGTAACTTCGCTCAGTGAATTCTCATTAAAATCTTTCACAAAGGACATGGTTCCCTGAATCACCCCCATCATCTTAATTATGTTAATTCTTTCCTCACTTGTGATGTCTAAAACCTTCTCTGAGGACACGAGGCATAATATTTGTTTCTCTAACTCTTCGTTTGATTCTGACTTCTTATCAGCAAAATCAGGATTGAATATTAATATACGCTTAATCTTAGGAAATTCAAGCACTTTTTCAATATCCTCCTGCTTCTCAGCACTTAGAGAGTATCCTCCTAGTTGAGGGATAAACTGAGAGATATAACTATTCATAATACGACTCTTGTTTCATTCATGCTAAATAAACAAAATTTGAGATTATATAACTTTGTGATCGAAATAGAGATAAGTAGCTTTAAATGTATATTGTTGCAAAATCTATGTATAACTAACTGACTAAGTATATCAAGGTAACCAAAGATCGCTCCAGCCGATGTTCTTTCTTACGGCATTGGAAAACCCTTCATTATATTTAACCCAAATTTTCGAACTGGTACCTTCATTACGGACACCTTCAGTCAATTTGCCAGCAACATCATCGTATCTTCCCTTGAAAAACTCCACGCTGCTACTCAACTTTACTCTCTTCTTCGATTCTTGTTCTTCGATTGCATTGTTATTCTCCACAGAACGCTTGACTGGCAAAGCCGACATATTAGCGGTCTTCTTGCTCATTTCTATTCTTTCAAGCTCTGACTTAAATAGAGGAAAGAGCCATTGACGCTTCATTTGTACATGAATAACAGAAGACTTCAGTCCAACAGGAACAGAGTTAAAGTTGCTAAAGGAATCTATGTCAGGGCAAAACTGAAGTGTCGACTTTCCGGTCTCTAGGTCTCTGTTTGACTCTAAAGTTAGGGCCAAGCCATTTATTAAATGGGACATCTTAGCGATCACTTTCCTTTCGAAATTTGGGAATGTATGTGCCGTCGCTTTCGCCTTATCGATGGGGCTCTCAGGGGTTAGCATCTTCGCTATATATGGAAGGATATAGCAGGGAAAGGTGTTGTTATTTTCTGTTCCTCCAAATGTTCGTCTAGTATTCACAGGCAGTTTTTCTATTATTCTCTTTGAAATCTCTTTGTTCTGTTTCAAAAGCTCATAGCTCTCAAAATCGATGCTTTTAGAGTTGGGTATAAGTGACTCTATTTCGTGATTCTTAACAGGTTTGATTTCACTAAATAAAGACCAAATTTTTAGGCCTACCAAGGATAAGTATTCATCGTGACTGGAAAGGCGATTTGACATCTCATCATAAAAACCCAACCAATCACTTAGCTCACTTGGCTTTTTCAATGAATCGTCGGAATAATGAACCACGTCAAGATATCTATTAAAGGAGCCTTTGACAACCTTTTCGAAAGCACTGCTGTTACTCACTATTGACAACCCCCCACCATTCATGAAAAATTCGAACAAGCCATCAAAATTCTCCTCTTTAGACAAGTGGGCATCTCTCTTGAATAGCATGTCTACCATAGAAAACCACGAGACCAGCGAATCTTTCCTTGATGATGGTGCCTGTCCATTATCGCTAACAGTCTCCGTAGTGATTTTACGCCCATTAAACTGAAGGTAGTTAAGAGATGCCCTTATATCACCTTCACATATTTCAACGATGTCTCCAATTTGCTGATAATCTAGACTCAATTTCTCATGATTGCATATATTAACAAGATGTTCTTTTATTGATCTTAATGCTGTACCTCCTACTTTAGACCCTGATGCAGTAGGAACCACTGTAGGCTTTCTGAAAGGAATGATATCACTCATTCTACGTAACTTTTCCATTCCCGGATTGCTTCTACCAGTTGAGCCATACAAGTCATTGGCAATACAAATGATGGGTCGGTTCAACAAAAAGTCTTTATTCTTTTTATTCTTCGAGTTCTTTTTATCTTTTGAATCAAAGCCATCTGCAGCACGCTTATATTTTCGTTCAATGGTCCTTTTATCGGCCTGATCTAGTTCATTTAATATCTTGATAATTTCGTTTGAATTAGGCGTGGTGTCTATTTCATCTATTATAAGACACGTTGGTTTACCTTTGGATGTAATTGAGTTTGTAGTTAATGCATTTACGATCTTCAACTTGAGTCCTTTGCTTACATTTATTTGATTATCCGAAGTTCGGGAAGAGGGTAAGCTCATGTTATCTGCAGCATTTAATTCTTGAACGGAGTATCCTAATTGCCGTGCTATGACATTTGTAGCTGCTGTTTTTCCTATTCCAACAGGACCATGGATCAAAAGTATTTTGTTACGAGGACGACCAAATATATCTCCCAGCTCCTCGACATTCACATCCTCATGAAATGTTATAGAAGCCCATTTCTTCAACCAACGCAGAACTAATCTATACTGTTTGTCGTTACCTGCGGGACATAATTCGACAAATTTGGAGGGTCTGTATTTTTCTGTCCAAACCAGGTTAGTCGTCCCTTTCTGTGTCTTGTTTCTAGCTTCTGGAAACTTCTTCCTATTTTCTTTTACTGCATTCCTCAAGTTAGCTTTCGTGAATAGATCATTCGATTTACCTGAAAATATTTGAGCTGTGCTCTCACATTCATCGAAAACTTCCTGTTCATCAAGTTCTACTTTCTTCCGCAAGATTATTTTTTTACCATTCAATAAGGTTACTGCCTTTGAACCTTCATCCAGCAAGCTTTCAGTTTCTCCTTTCTTATTATAATAAGATTCGCTTTGTTTCTTATTCTCGATCTTGCTTCCGTAGGGATCAATATCTGGGCTTTTATAGGCGGTTTCTCCACCAAATAAGCTGGAATTTCCAAAGGATATACCATCAAGATCAATTGACCTTTCAATTCCAGCATCTACAGTCATCCTATTAGTACATTGGTCACAACTAATTTCTTTGTTTGTATTCAATTCATCTCAAGACATTATTAGAGCCTACGCGTAACGCGATATATAAATATAGTTTGTTTCTTATATACACGACTTATATCGGTCCATCTAAACTAAGTACCAAACGTCTTTAGATGTATTTCAGGCTCATCTTCGAGAATATTCGTGGAGTCTTCGTCAGTTTTCTTATACATAAGTAGCTCCTCTGCTGACTGCCTCTGCGTCTTTGAAATAACGGTATTCACAACGATCTTAAAGCAGTTAGAATTCTGCTGAACTAGAAACATAAGTCTTTCATGTAAATATGACTTGGGTAACTGCGTATTAAACCTTATCAACAAGGGTATAATTATGGAGTATAGGGTTGAAAGCTTAGCCTCATCTTTTACTTTGGTTTTGGAAAATAAAAATAACATTTCAAAGAAAGGTGTAGGATCAATATCTTCGTTACTCGAAGTATGTACGAGTAGGTCAACCACGTCCCTGACCAAGTATCTCAACACCAGTGATTCATTTTCAGTTTTCAGAAAATACTGTGTTAACGTCTTCACACAGTGCAATGAAATTGAAGCAGTCTCCTTCGACTTTGCCATCTCAAGCAAAGCCTTAGCCAAATCTTTAGAATCAACATCGTCCAATGATACATTGCCGTTCGTGATTAAAACTATCTTGGTAAGAACAGTATAAGCTTTAGTAGAATCTATTTTGAAATGAGTGGAAATAGTTTTTTCAAATGTCCATACAAGTTTCTGGTTAAGATTGGCAGACTCCGTAACAACTTTTTTCAAATGTGGCAACAATGTTTGAATTAGAAGTTCATTGCCGAACTCGTATATCTTAGCAAAAATAAACAAAATACAAGAGTAAAGATCACCTTTTACGTCTTCCGGAAACTTAGATATCATATCTACCAAATTCTGTAACTCTTTCTTAAAAATGAGCAAATTGGAGGCACTGCTAACATGCTTAAGAGCTAATTTTTGGGCTGCGTTCGTTGCATCATAATCCGCCCTCAAGAAAGGAAACATGTTGAACAATGGTAACATATTGAGTCTAATTAATTCAAGTAATTTATCGTGATTTTCTTCAAAGGACTTAGGATGGCTCAGTACATAAGTCTGCAAAATGCTATTAATTATATCATTTAACTTGCATTGTACTTCAGTGTCATCATCCAATAATATCAATCTATCAAAAAGATCAACTAACTCGTCAAATATTTCATCATTAAATATCAAGTCCACTAGATCTTCATTATCAACTAATCTAGCTAGTGACAGTAAGATCTCTGGGACATTTTTATTCTTTATGAGCGACTCAACGCATTGACTTAGTAATACAAATAAAAAGTTTGGTGCATCATCAGAGAGGTATCTCTTCGCAAACTGGTTATCTTGTTCAATTTCAAGAGACAAGACATTTATGAAATTAAACCAATACTTATCATAAATCTCCAACTCTTTACTTGAATTATCATTATATTTCAATGCTGAAAAGTCTCTCAACACTAAAATCCATAGAGGATTCAATAAATCAGAATACTTCCCCACAACATCCAAGAATTCTGGCTCTGCAATTTCAGGATTTTCCTTAGAGTCAATTTTTAGTAATGCCCAACAATTTAATATAGATAACTGGATTGACTTCCTGCTGAACTCAGACATATCTTCTAAAAATCCGAACTTTAAAAATTTGTTAGAAGAAACCTCTTCAAGCAAAAAAATTAAGGTTTTCAAGATTCGTTGTTTCGAATAAAATTTAATTCGAGGGAGGTTGATAAATTTAGAGGAGACATTGATTGCATGGACAATGACTTGAGAATCGCTATCCGCGTTAAAGCAAGGGATCAATGCACTAATGATTTGCGCTTGCTGTTGCTCCAATATCGAAACACCAGGGTATAAGGGATCGGCCATATTTCCAAAGAGTCCAAGAGTTTTGTCAAGCAAGTTGATACCTTTCAATTTTATCTCTTTGATAGGAGAAGTCGAACCTAAGAAAGAAATTTTTACAATGTCTTGTATCCGTGGTGTCAATTGATTAAGAAGTGGTGTACTTCGGTGAGCAATTTCCAACAATAAGTTTAGCAAATCATATATGAAAAGTTTGAGCTCCCAAGTTATTGGCTCATTTTTACCTGAATCCTCACCATCTTCGCCTACGATATTTTCAATTTCTTCATCTTTAAAGTCGAGGTTAGATGATTTCTTCTTTTTCAGTCTTTGCTGTAAGGGAAGTAATTTTTGCTGGTAATTTATTTCAATGAAGGGACCCAGTAATTTCTTAGACGGATATTTGAATAAAGAATTCAAAGTTGCCAACCAATTGATCTCCAAGCTAGAATCCAACCACAAAGATATTAATTCTTTCAATTCAGGACAAGGCTTCGTGTTCATACAAACCCAGAATAACTTAGCACTTTCTTTGGTAAAAATATCGACTCCTTTAATCTTCACTAATTGTACATAGCACTCATAAGCTGATCGATACAAATCAAAGCTTGTGTTGAAGGGAAAAATAGCTTCTTTGTTGATTGATGTCGGGCTGATACTTGTGATACCAAGTTTCAAATTTTTAGAAATTATCATATTCAAGAACTCAGTCAAATATGTAAGATCTGAACTGAATAGCTTTGGATCATAGATTAATAATTCTTTAAATAATTGTAGCAAGTGTTGATACAGCTCAAGAGCATCTTCGATCGTGCATGACCCTATTTCATCACTTAAGGCAATAATGAAGCTACTAATTTTAATCTTGTCCGCTGCAAGCCAACCCTTTAAACTGGGCCCAATGGTACTGACTATTAAGCGAACCAACTTAGTCAAAGATCCCATGCTTCCATATTTACATTTGAGATTCACTAACACCTTATTTTTAACAACATATCCAAAATCGTCATTCAAGTAGTTTTCAAGAAGAGTGTCCAAAAGTTTGCTAACTAAATGAAGATTATCCAAGTTACTTTCAAGTATATTATAGACGGCCTCCAAGCTGAAATAGTATACTACAGGATTTGAATCTTTGAGGAGTTGTGAAGCAACGCTGTAGACTTCACTGAAATTCAAATGCTGAGTATGATATATCTTCGATAAAGACAAAATATACCATCCTCTGTGAAATGGATTGACATCCTGGACGATATTATTAACAAATTTATTTAATAACTCGCCAGATTTTTGAACACTTAAGAAACCAGAAGCTAAGCCAACTGAATCTGAGTTTATAATCACGATTTTCTTCGCCTTGTTGTCAAGTTTTTCTAAAATATCAAGAATAACATTCACAATCTCTTGATCCATGCTATAATTTCGATGCGAAGCGTTACTCAAGACACCATGTAATGCAACAGATGCATTAACATGAGTAGCTGTACGTCTTAGCGGGTCAAGGACTTGAGCAGTTACTGAATTCCTCATTTGTTCCAACAAAGAAAATTGAATCTTCAAACTTAAATGTGGGAAAATAAGCAGAAAAAGCTCGACTGACAAATCCACTAGTGAAGTAGTCAAGTTCGCAGAATACATTTCATAGACCGAATACCTATTAAGCAAGAAAATATTAGGGTCATAGTTGATGCTATTATCAACAGACTTAAATATGAGTTCTTCAAAGGCATCGAACCAAGCTTGATATTGGTTCTCGAGAGGTAATTCGATGGAACCGTCAGGAATCTGCCCGACGTCCTTTTGAAATGTGTCTTTATAAGAGATATCACTTACTCTTTTATTGTCATCCAAATTTTCATGAAACTTAATCAAAAGCTCGTCAATATTAGCAGATCTAGCTCTAAATTTACTTGTTATTCCAAACGAATAGTTATAATCTTCAGACAAAATAATATCAGCCGAGTCATAATCTTTAACGATTTTTGAACTAGGTTTAGTTCGAGAAGCCTTAGACTTCTCCTTGGAGAATTCAGATGAGACTCGGGAAAATGTTTTAGAGTCGCTGAAGACCTTCATAAGGAATAAAACAATATTAGAGTTAATATCATTTGACAGCAATGTCACAAGTTTGAGAAAGCTTAGCAATAATATCTTCTTTCCGTAGAGTATCAAACTAATCATCATATTTTCAAACGAAAGCTTCTTGTTAGCACTGTAATTTGAATATTGGATATTATTAATTAAGTTGGGATTATAATCAGATTCATTAAAATGTATGGTACTGAAATTTGTGATTGGGCCAATACTTGGTATATTGCTTTCCAAATAATTGAGATAGTTGAACGATTTTGTTAATAAAAATCTCAATTGCTTAACCGATTCTGGAGTCAATTTGACTGAATTCAAATAGTTTAAAAGACAAACTAAACTAAAGTTTCTCATTTTCAAGTTTTCTATTATTTCAATTTGTTGACCTTCTTTGTTGCTTAAATCTAAAGATGAACTTATAAATTGTGATGTCAACAAACTTTTCCAAAAGACCAAAAACTGGGAAGAGTTCAACTTTACAATTTCTGAATCATTATAAAAAGTGACAAGTGACGATAAAATGACCCAGCAAGATGAGTTCTTCAAAAAGGTTTGATAATTAGTATTATTGTTGTGCTTCAAATTTTGAGTACAGAAACTCAATATTTTAACGATCGTGGCATTCTGTAAAAGTGTTATATCGGAATGTTTGATTAAAGACAGCAATGCTAATGAATAGCTCATTAGCCTGACCGCCTCCAAGTTTGATATATTGTCCTCATTATGACCATAGTTACTTTTGGTCTCTGCGCTTCGTTGTTCTTGGTTAACCAACGAGAATAACCTCAAAATCAACTGGTTGATTTCGATTTCGTTACAAGATGCGTACACTAGAAGTGTTTTCAAGGCATAGTTTCTGATATAATCATCTTGATTTATTAGCAATTTTAAAATGATATCTCGAACAAAAGCCGGCTTCATGGAGACTCTTTCTTGAGATTGCTCTTCATCGATTTCTTCATTTTTTTGGTTAGCTTCTTCTTCTTTTCTCTGTACGCTAGAGCTGAAATCAATCCCAAAAGGTAAAAGTATCTCTATCATATAAAGTAATAGATACGACTGGTATGAATTATGGTAAGGAAGGATACGTTTCAAAAAATTTTGCCTACTCTTTAAAGAGCCCTTTGCGGTGTTAAAATTGAAAACTGATTCTTTCTTTTTCTCTTTAAGAGATGACGTAGACAGTGATTTTTCTTCGTCAACTTTTCCATGAACATTGAATTTCGATAGCACATATTCAGCCAAAATCTCATGACAATTGGAGCCACTTTCCTTTAAAATCCAGTCTAGAAATAAAGTCCAATGTTTCAAAGTTTTATTCCAATACTGATTTTGGATGTGATTTTTCAGATTATTAATTGCACAGAACTTAGTTAATACTTCATCCAAGATAAACTGTAAGTTGAATGATAAGTAATTAGGATCCTGAAATTGCTCGAGTTGGATATACATTATCAAAGTCTCCACTATGCCCAGTTGAAATAATAATGTTCCCGTGTGGTTTTGAATAATCAATTCACTATCATGACTCGTCAAGGTGTTCTTTTCTTTCCTATTGATAAATGTTAAAGAATCTGCTTCCGTGTCAACGGTTGCACTTAATGAATCATTCCATACGTTTGCCAAAGGTAAAGTATATTGAGCGATCAAATAGGTTACAGCATTGAATTGGTCGCCTGTTGGAACAAAGTTCAAAAGTACAGTTGCTAATAGCTCGACAGTTGCTATCCTGATGTCCTTATTGTAATTGCATAAACCGAAATTAATAAACTTTTCATTAGTTGTCAATAAATTGGTTTGAAATTGATGCTGTTGAATCATAATTGATTCAGGTTTTAGCTTAGAGCCTGCAGAAGACGACGCAGATGTAGACAATAAACTTTCATAATGAGACGATATGGATAGTAATAGTAAATTCTTGAAAACCAATATGTAATTCCTTTTGAGGATTATTGAAGATATGTTCTGATTGTCGATTTGTTTACCAGACTCTAATTTCAAGTCGAGAGAAGTTGCTTTCGAATTAATGTTCTTCGTGACGAGTTTTAAAAGCTTGGCCTGAAATTTTTCATCTATGTCAGCTCTCGTGGCATTTTTTGTGATTGAATTCAAAAGATAAACCATGTTCACATTACTATCTGGAACTTTCTTGAGCGCTTTGTAAACTTGAGTGGCCGAAAAATTCATCAATGACGTAAGGGAATTTGGAAACATTTCAAATAGATCTATCAGAACGACTACAGCTGTCTGTGATTTTATAGTGCCACCACTGCCCTCACCTAACTTACTCAAGAGATCGTACGCAAAGTCATGTATTTTTGTAGGTAAGTTGCGTAGCACTATAACAACAACTCGTGCCAACATGGCCGAACAGTTCACTGACGGTACCTCGTCAATCCATTTTTTCAATTTGTCCAAGCACTGAACATAGTCAATATCCTCTTCACCACTATTCACGCGCGTATACATCGATGTCAAGCTGCTAAAGACGCCCTTGTTGTCACAAGCAGGAAGCTCTTTTGAGGTTCCAGCAGCCATTGTCAATTGATTTAGTTGATTAGTTCACAAACAACTTTTTAATTTCGGTTACTAGTTGTGGAACAAGATGGTATCGGAAGTCACTAGCTCACTTTAGATTTCAATCATGAGACGTAGAGCTTTTAGTACCGCGATCTGAAAGATGGTAATATGGCGACATTCTTGAAGCGACATTCACATAGCGACACTTACGAGCGACATTGTCTGCGACATGTTCCCCGTCATTTTGTTCCCGACATAAATCTGTCACCAATGCTCCCCTCGCATAATAATAAACTTTTCAATCTCACTCCTAAGGCGGGCCAGAACCGGCTGCAGTATACTGTGTGGTTTCGAGCACTGCTAAAGTGCTTCCTTTGTCTTTATGCGCTAGCCAATCCCTTATTATGGAATAAGGTCGCTCTCTGCCCAATCGCCGATCAAAGTGGTTAATTGTCCAATCGTTGTCGCTTGTCGTCTGCCTTTGTAGCACTGTATCGGTCCAGGCTCCATCAATCATTGGTTCCCTTCTAGTTACTTGAATCTCAAATAGTAATTGATCGAATAGATACCAAAAAATTTTCCAGTTCCAGCCGTTTATAAAGGATCCTTCGCAGCTTAATTCTCTCTTCAATATTCTGTTTCTTAACGATCCATTACCCATTGAATTGAACATACAGTAGTTTTGTTAGACCCTTCAATACCGACAGTAAGAGTCTTGAGCTGAAAAGCAGAATTAAAGAAGATTAGTACTGGTTAGAATTGTTCCAGGAGAACGAAAGTAGTTTATATCACATCTTGTTAATCCTGATAAGTTAATTAATTAACATATAAGTCACTATGGTTAACGTTTTCAATCCACAGATTTTCTTTATTGTATTCAGAGAATCATTGGAAGCTGTGGTTGTGGTTTCCGTGCTTTTAGCATTCTTGAAGCAGGGACTTGGTTCTGCCACAGATGATCCTAAAACTTATAAGAGACTACGTCGACAAGTTTGGCTAGGGTCTATTCTAGGAGTTATTGTCTGTTTGATTTTAGGTTGTGCTTTTATTGGTACTTTCTATTCTTTAGGTAACGATATCTGGTCTAAATCTGAAGATATTTGGGAAGGTACGTTTTGTATCATTGCTACTATATTGATCTCAATGATGGGTATCGCGATGTTGAGAATCAATAAGATGAAGGAGAAATGGAGAGTCAAGTTAGCAAAAGCCTTAATCAAGACACCAGCAAACAAAAGAGACAGATTTAAAATCGGTTATATTTGTAAGAAATACTGTATGTTCATCTTACCTTTCATTACTTGTTTAAGAGAAGGTTTGGAAGCAGTGGTTTTCGTTGGTGGTGTCGGTTTATCCAGTCCTGCAACGGCATTTCCTATTCCGGTTATTACTGGTTTAATTGCTGGTATTGTGGTTGGTGCCATCTTGTATTTTTCAGGTTCTACACTCTCTATGCAAATTTTCTTGATCTTTTCCACTGGAATTCTTTATTTGATCTCAGCTGGTTTATTTTCAAGAGGAATTTGGTATTTTGAGAACTATGTTTATAACCAGAAGACTGGAGGTGACGCTTCCGAAAACGGATCTGGACCTGGTACATATGATATCACCAAATCGGTTTGGCATGTTAATTGCTGCAATCCAGAAATTGATAATGGTTGGGATGTGTTCAATGCCTTGTTAGGATGGCAAAATTCTGCAACCTACGGTTCTGTTATTTCTTATAACATTTACTGGCTTGCACTTATTGCTACTATAGCCTTGATGTTGTTCGAAGAAAAGCATGGACACTTGCCGTTCTTGAAGAATGTTACTATGAGACTGTTGAATCCTATGTACCACCTCAAGAAGAAGAAGAAGAACGAGTTATCCAAAGAAGAACAAGATGCTTTGTTTGAGCAGGTTAAACACGTCAACATTGGTGAGGATTCTATTGCAAATGGAGCTGCTGATTCTGGAGATTCTGGATCTTCAATTGCTAAGAAGGAAGAAATCGTTGAGAGTGCTGAAAAAGCATCATCCTGAACACTTTAAAGAGATTCATTTAAGTTTGCGTAATCACACACACACACATATATACGCCTTATTTGATATCCTTGTTTGTGTTCTATTTCCTAATTCTTTTCAATTTAATTTTCTATGATTTTATTTTGGTATATATTGGGCATTTTTATTTAATTGGGTACTATATTTTGGAGAGTCGGGTCGTTCAAACACTGTTAAATATATTTTATATGGGTAGTGGTTCTAATATAATCGTTAAATCTTGAATATTAATATGTAATTTGAATTAAAGAAAGCAATCGAACTCGCTCTCGGAATGCTTTAAACTTTGATCTAATCTTCTCTCAAAGTCCGCCTCATTGGGAGCCAGTTCCTCATGATCAGATATTATTTTCAATGATGAGTGCAATGGTTTCAATGACTTCTCTTTCAACTTCAAATACCTACTTGATTCAAACACCTCCAAGATGAAGTTAAGGTCAAACTTCAAACGACTTAGCCATTCGACGTTAAATTGAAGGGTCACCAAGTTCCTCACATTAGTCAAGAAATCTTTCATGAAAGACTCTTGTAACTCATCAATAATTTCAACAAAGATCTCTAAACTTGTCAAAGGCTTTACAACGTGAATTAATTTAACGAAATGAATAAGGATCTCGAAAATCACACCATCCACTTGAAGCACTTCATCATGAATCGAGGTGTGTGGAATTTTGTGAAACAACTTGCTTAAAGCTGACTCAATCCATGACACTTCTCTACTTAAAATGTCCTGAAATATGCTCTCATTAACTTTATCAATATCTTCATATAACTTCAAATTTTGTTTAGAAAGCTCTTTATCAAATAACTTATCAAACTTAAAAATGAGCCTTGGATAGACTACACGGCCCATAATATCTAAGTTATTCATCGTTAATATCTTATAAATTTCAAAATCGTCTTTGATTTTTTTATTTCCCTCCATATTGTATCTCTTCATAGTTGAATCAACAAAGATATTAAGACTTCTCATGAACTGGATTTCAATGCTGACCAAAATTCTTTTACTCGGGTATGAGGCAGTGATCCTGACTTTCGAGGAGGAATTGTCCTTGTTAAAAATCACGTCTGTCAATTTAGATAGAATATAGATTTCATAGTTCTCAAAGATATTCACTATCTTAGTATAAGTGGCCGCAACACCACGATTTTTCTGGTCAGACTTTACATCGCTCTGCGTATCCCAGTTCTCTAAATCATAGAATTGTGAACAATCATTAACCCACACAGCACATATAGCCTCAATTGTCTTTTGGTTAATTTTAGAACAAGCATTTCTTAGGCTCTCGATTAATTTATTTGTAGAAGGATTATTGGTTGCATTACCAACGTCCACAATGAAGCTTCCCATATTTGTAAGAAATGTGTTTACTTGATGATTAACTTTGGATAAATAGAAGCAAGCCGATAGGGAGTTTGTGTAGTAGGGCAAGAATTGGGTATAGTTTCCTGGTGATGATTCTATTTGCTTAATATCCCCAGAGTCCTCGCTGAAAAGCGACACTAAGAAGGACGTTATCAGATCAAATAACTTGAAAAACTTGTCACGAATAGAACCTTGGATATCGACTTTAAAACCATTGGAAGGATCAGCATAATGAATATAATTAGATACAAATTTTTGCAAACTGTTCAGAAATGAGCCACTTAAATAAGTGCTAAAATTACTTAGTACAAGCCAAGTCTCGTTAATAATTGACAAGTCTATGTTCTCTTCGGTATCAAAAACTTCCATAACTAGTTTCTCTTGTTCTTCCCTTGGTTGTTTTGACACAGAGGATGATGCCTTTAGAAAATCGTCCAATTGGGCGTATTTCTCTCCCAAGAAACGGATGTAAGAACCATTGATCCTCTTCTCACCAAACGAATTAACATAATCAAATAGTTTTCTTTGCATCATCGTAAATCTGTTATCAAATTTATTTACATGATAGTCCAAATCCCTCTGTATGCCATCTAATTGAGCATCTAAGAAATCTTCGACCGGGTTTACTTTATTTCCGTTAGCACCCTCGTTCAATTGGTATAATTTGTCAACTAAGGCAATGAACTTAGTATTTGAACTATTGGATCGGTAATTGGCATTGCCAATTTGGTGATCCATAGTTAATAGTTCTTTATATGTTTTCTTCCTATATTCCGCAATAATATTATCAATTTCAAGAAATGCCTTTGACAATGCTGTATTTATTAGAAGTTGTTCTTGTTCGAGTTGCTTAATTCTCGAATGGTCGTTGTCTTTCTCTAGTTTTTCAAGAACTTCTGTGAATTCTTGTTTATGATGTATCAATAAGTCTGCTCTCTCCTTTAAATATTTGTTGTAGTCGTCAACAAATTGGTCATGATTGTGGTTTGAAAGATATGTAACAAGCTTGCTAGGTAGATCAAAGAAAAAACTATTCGCTTTTATAAATTCAATTAATTTATTCAATTTCATTTCTTTTGACTGCTTTTCCACAATAGGTCTTATCATCAAATTCCTATTCAAAGTTAAACCTTTGATTGCTTCTTCTAAATCTGAGGACAATGATTCTTGCACTCTTTTTTTAGAATGTCTAGCTGGGTTAAAAACCTTGCTACTTTCTCTTTCTTGTTGGGCCTTGGTCTTGAGTTGCTTATATTCGATAAGAACATCATCAATCGATTTCTTACAATCTAAAAAGTTGATGAAGTTATCGTTTATGACAGATTTCAACTGATTTGTTTGACTCTGTATGTTTCTTTCTAAAAAATTTAAAGATTTCGTTAGATCTTCAATCGGTGTATCTTGATGTATGCTGGTCAAAAATTTGTGACTATCGAACTTCTTGGAGGATATCAAGTACTGGTCAATCTTTGGATCACTGGAGGATGTTATCATTCCCCTTTTAATCAACTCCTTAATAACATTGGATCCCTTTCCCCTTAATGGATCTTCATAATCATCATTTCCGCTCTCGTTAAAATGAGTACTTGGATTGCTGCTATTTCCCTCAAGAACTAATTTGTTCAATAAATTAAACTGCTCGTCAGTTGTTAAGTTATCCAACTGGTCTGAATCGATATTTTTGTATTCACTCAAATTTAATTCTTTGGTTGATTTTGGATTAACAGTTTTTAAATTATAGAACGATAAGATGCTTTCATTGCTATCGTCATAGTTGATCATAGTTAGAATCTAACGTGTCACTAGTGCAAAGAAGAAGTGAATAGAATGAGAATATATATTAATATTTTAAGTGACACAAAAATCTTAATAGACATGGGGTCAACATTACTTTACATCTTCTATATACGAATTCTTATATTTATACATAAACTGTAAAGGTTGCTATCTCCAAAGACTGTAGTCTTGTTGCAGATTTTCACCGTCGACACCTGAAGAAACTGCAGCAACAGCTGCATTTGCAATTGAAGTTGGATCTGTTGGATCAACGTTTCCCGAGTTCAGATGTGAAGATACTTCGTTAGTAGAAATACGAAGAGGAATCAGTGGAGATCCTCGGGAATGGTCATTATGTTGTTCGAGCAAGTCGTTGCTGGCTGCTCTTGGTTCCACCAAGTTACTTCTACCATAATATTCGTCGAGCAATCTTTGAAGTATACTTTGTAATGATAGCTTTTTATGATCTTTTAAATCTGACTTCATTTTCTCAAACACAACTTTGAAATCAGAAGAGCTCCAGTTGTCATCCGTCTCATCTTTCTTGTTTGCGTTTTTCCGTTCTTCTATATATAAATGGGCAATGTAATCCCAGTCAATAGTTTCTAAAGTCTGAAAGCCAAGTCTCAGAAGCTTTTGTAGAAGCCACACTCTTGTCTCCTCATTCATAAATGAAGATCTGACCGCAGACTCCCTTCGGAGTAGTTTATTCCACTTGTAGCGACACTGAATACGTGAGCGGACTCCGTTCATCCTCTCACTGACGATGGTCCAATTAATCGCTTGTTGCTTGTCTTTCGCACTTGGTTGTGATACCATATCTGTAACAATATCCTTTAACTTTTTCTCTTCATCTTCAGACCATTTATTCAAGACTCTGTTTTCACCACATTTCACGTAATTTCTCCACCTGTCACGACAATCCTCTGGCATACGTCCCATTATTTCTCCTATTTCTTTCCAGTTTCCTTCTTTAGTGGATGCTAGTTTTCTTAAAAGCTCGTCGTCCTCTTTTGTCCATTTGGCTCTTACGTCAAAAACATGATATTGTCTTCTTACGTGCTTGTACACAGATGCTCGGGACCTGTAAGGTAAAACTCTAGTTAACAATTCCCAGAAGTTATCCTTTTTTCTTTCATTTGACCAAATTCTATTACAGATATCTTTTCGGGTCAATTTATGCAAATGACAGTATCCAGTTATAAAATGATCAACAGCTGCTATTTCCTCAGAAGAAAAAATCCTGGGGCCATTTCCAGTAGATTGTGGTAAGCTATTATACCAATTGCATGCTTGCGCAGATGCCTCCTCTACTAGAGCCTCCACTGAAGTTAAATGATTGAATTTTGGCTTTCGTTGAATTGGGGCAGGTTGAACGTTCGCCATGGAATAATTGATGATGCTATCATCACTTTTCTTCGAAGATCTGCGACTATCCGAGCTTGCCAATTGTCTATTTCTGTTAATCGAGTCAACTCCATTACCTGAAAGTGAAGACGCAGCTTGAGCAAGTTGATTAATTGCAGCGGCCGATTCTGATGTTCCTTGGCCTTGATTCTGTACTGCTGCCGTGGCAGCTGCAATTACTTGTTGGGCTTGATGAGAAGGTAATCCGTTCAAGCTATTATGAAGAGAATTAATATCATGATCATGAAGAACACCATTGCCTAGTTGCTTCGCTAACTCCCTAGCATCCAATATAGTTGCTTGCACCAATTGATCATGCTCAGTGGTAGAGTCCAAGCCCGTTAGTTCAGGGTCAATATCATTGTGGCCTGTCTTTCTCTTCTTCCGCTTTTTCGGTGTACGTGGAGAGAATTGAGTATAGTCATCGTGACTCTGAGATTGCTGAGAAGTGTGCTCGGTCAGCCCTGTGGGCCCATTTCCTCCTATCTCATCTTCCAAAAATCCTGTCCATTGATTAAATTCATTAATATTCGACATGAGATCCTCGTGCAGTTGGTTCGCTTGAGACTGTGAGTGCTTCCTCTTTCCTTTTTTGCCTATGTTATTATCATCCAACGTACCACCCACATAGCGCATAACTGCAGCTTCTACCGCATCATTAATCTGCTGATTAGTTGCCTTGCCCTCAGCTAAGTCAGATTCCGACACCTCATCGTCCTCTTCGACCGCTTGGTCTTCTATGACTTCGCTTTTGTCTTCAAGCTGATCTGCATCATCACTCTCATCTTCCCTATCTTCTTCTCTCTGCTCTACATCCTCCTCATCCTTGTTTTTAGATCCAAGCTGAAGAAGTGCCTGTGCTCCCCCTATCTCTTGTTGTTGCTCCATCCTTGAGAACCTAACAACGTTCGTTCTATTTTGCAACTATTTCTGTATTTGATCTTGGGTTACCCGCTTGCTCAGAGTGGTGTCCGAAGAATATGTCAAATATTTAAAAAGTAGGGTAACCTATGGATTGTTGTTCTTCTACGACACTGGCAATTGATGGTTGTTTTGTGCACTTAGAATTTGGTGATGCCATCGTGATTGTAGTTACTCTTTTAGTCTGGTAATTACGCGTATCTTCTGCTTGAGCCATAAGCTGTTTTATCTTTCCAAGCTTAGAACTCGACAGACATGGCACTCAGGAATACTATATCCAAATACCTTCATCATCTTTTACAAGGTGATGGGTTTTGTCTGAGAATTTGATTTTTCAATTCCTTCTACTGATGATATCATCTTCATGGTGAGATCTCTGCTGATAAACTTCTAATATGTAGTAAGCACAGATCCTGGCAAAAGCTTATTAAGATACAATCATAGGATGCAAATTGAGTTTATATTGTCCCTCAAATCGCCCAAAATACTCTAGATACCCTCAGAGAAGCTTTATTCTATGTTGAGCTCGAATGTCTGGTCAAAATAGATGATAGTCTTCTAAGAGAATCTTCACACGTTGTATTAATCACAAACGAATTCTCACAAACAGTCAGCCGGATGTGTTTTTTCTGGCTTTTTAAGCTAGACTAACTTGTAATCTTTTGGAGAATACAGCATGCTCTTTATCAAATTGTCAAAAGCGTTCATATATTGAACTGTATAATGGGTGTAGTGCGAATGTTTATCTGTTTAAAATATGTTTTGAATGTTTTGATCATTGAGTTTCTCTTTAGCCTTGAACATTTGAAGTGTCTGAATTCTTCAGCAGGCTACTCATAGATGCGTGAATGGTCCCCGGTTCTCCTCAGAAGCTTCTAAAGTGTGAACTTGAAAACTTAACCAAAGATCAAATAGTACAGCGGGTTTTAGACTTAAAATGTGAGTTGGATGAATTTCAAGAGTCGAGTAAAGAATTAGAGCAGGCATTAGAAGACGAGGTTGAAACTTTGGAAAATGCCAATTGTAAACTAAACCTGAACCTTGTATCAAAAGATGAAGATATACAGATATTGAAAGGTAAAATAATGTCTCTCAATATTGAGCTCAAGGAACTCCAGAGCAGTAATAATGATCTTAACAGTGCATACAAATGCGAGATTAAGTCATTAAAAGAGAAATTGGTTGACATAGAAATTGCAAATGAATCAGTGAGTTCACAGAATCGCTTGCTTCTAAGTCAGTTAGAACTGTCTACACAGCAAAACAACGAGTTGTTAGAGAAGATTGCATTGATAGAATATGACCTTGAAAGAGAACTAACAGCAAATGCAGAGAAAGAGCTATATTTGCTGAATTACCGAAACAAGCTAAACGAAATGGGCTGGGTCGTGGATACGTTGAAGGAAAAGCTTTCACACCGTTCAAATTTAGGATCTAGAATCGAATCACCTCTGGGTAGTAGTTTAATCTTTGGAGAACTAGAGATTTCACAAGGCTTGAAAGAATCATCAGAATACCCAAAGCTTACCGTTAAAAAATCAAGAGGCTCAGATAGCCAACTGAATAGCGATCACAACCCGCCGTCTTCATTTCCTTTGAAGTCTACTTCGACGATACATGTATCCAAGCAGCTGCATTTAGCTAAATCAATAGGACCTTCTATGACCGAGACGAAAGACGTGGCGCCAAATTTACATTTATCGAAATCCATCAGGAATTTATCAAAAAGAGTTCAGTCCCAGAGAAGCTTTATAAGCTTGAGACCGGATCGGTCTTCATCTTTTGGTGAAGAGAATGAATTTGCCATTCCACAAAGGCTGGTTTTAGGTAGTTTAGAGAACCAGTCTAATAGATCTTTAAGAACAAAAAATAGCATTAGTGTATTTGACTATTGGCGTCATAGTAAAAGTAATGAATAAGTAAACGAAAGGTGAGAGTTAATTCTCCCTGGCATTTGTGTTGAATATGGTGAATAGACTGCTTGTAGTCTTCTCAATAATGTAGACTGTATGAGCCTCATCTCGATATCGATATCAGAGATCGATACATATATAAAAATCAAATAAACCTAAATTCCATGGCATTAAAGAAGGTAGTATCTCTAAGAGGACATTCCAATGCTATAACTTCCTCTGAAGTATTTCGATTGCCTGATAGTAAGGAGCCCTCTTTAGTTTCTTGCGATAGTAAAGGATGGATAATATGGTGGGATCTAAATAAGAGGCGTCCGATGGGCACTTGGAAAGGACATGACTCGAGCATAATAACTGTTAAACAGCTAGACAACAATTACTTGCTAACCCATTCAAAAGATTCTGAGATCAAGATTTGGGATATACTTAGCTTCACTAATTTTAGTTCATCTGTGCCTACACTGAATTTCAACGATGTGAAATACTTTAGCGTGAAAGATTCTGATCAATTGCGGAAGAAGAAGGAAGAGTTATTAAACATTTTTCCTGTTCCAAATAGCGTTTCAATTCCAGTCAATGCCTTGAATTTTTGCAACGTTGACTACTGTAAAAACCTTTTGATTACTCCTGCTTCACAAGATTCAAATCATTTTGATATCTACAAAATTTTTGATGGAGCCTCTCCGGACGAATCTATTGAGGATCAGCTCAATTTGAAGCGAGTCGTGACTAACTTTAGTGGTTGGGATTTATATCAGAAACAAATAAAACTTCAAGAAGATATTGAAGTAGAAATACCCTCGTCTAGTGATTTGAAGAGAGACCAGTTTGGAATTGTGATGAAGGTTCTATTTATCAAGGAGACTGTATTTTTTGTTGGTTATGAATCAGGGCATGTCCTTGGATTTAGCTTAGAGGATGTAAAACCGATTTCTATATCATCTTCATCTTCATCTTCAACTTCAACTGCAAATACTCAAGGTGACAACCTGGGATTGTCTTCAATGTTTCGAAAGCAGCCTGGCCTGATAGCTACAGAAAGGACCCTCATCAATAGAGAATTTAAGGTTAATCTCATTTATGCGCATGCGTCCCATACTCCTGAACCGGTAATAAGCCTAAGTTATGAGGATGGCTTCGTTGTATCTGGATCGCTGCGTAAATCTATTATAGTCCATGATTATCGAAACAGAACTCAACATAAGGTCAAACTCAGGATGGCTGGTATCCAAGCTATATCGAGCGTCAGGGATATTATTGTTGTTGGCTTTTGGAATGGTCAAGTATGTGGGTATTCGCATGATTTTGAAGAGATATTTGCTATTCTGGGTAATGTACCAGTTGTTGAAACGTTGGAGGATTCCAATGCACAAGCTATTAAATCCAAAAATGTCTTGAAGCTATCTAATTTAACTACCATAGACTCAGATAAAAGTGCCACGGAATTACCGAATTCTTATAGATCATTAATAAAACAACGGAAAAGCATCACAAGAAAAGACTTGTTGGTCTTAAGCTATGAAGATGGAACTATTTCCATATACGAACTCTAATTAGAAGAAAAGGGTTAGAATTTATTACTCTATACTTTCTAAAATAAATGACTTGATAATGACCGTGTGAATTCTGTAACTTCGAAGAAGCCACTATGTTAGGCTTTAGCACTGTTGTCTATATAAAGAGATCTTCTCTTTGAATTTTTAGAATTACTCTTTTGACGGTTAGATCCAAATGAATTACTCGGTGCTCCAGACTTATCACGTCTTGAACTATCTCCATTGATATTTGAAGGGGGTGTAGGAGTACGAGACTGTGAATCACCGCTAGTGTTTCTTATTTTTTGCAGATTGGAGTTTCTTTTAGGAACATTCAAATGAGATTGCGCAAAATCCAGTGAGCTCTTCAGGTCGAATCTCATAGAATTCCTCTTGCTGTTATTCTTTCTCTTCTTTTGCTGAATATTATTATTCTTAAGGCCAGACTTTATATTAAGGTTTTTCAAGTCATTGCTTGGGTCAGGAGAATTTATTAAGGTGGCTTCTTCGTCAAATGAAGAATTGGACAAAGCTTCGTTTGATTCATTTAAAAGTTCATCTAAGTCGACGTCGAAGTTCTCTTGGTGTAATAATTTGGATTGTAATTCTGGATATTTTTCGACCAAGAATCGAATTACTTCAACGTTATTTTGAAGTATACTTTTCGATGAGTGACCATGTATATTCGCTGCTTTCGCCAATTTAGATAATAATTCTAGGACGGCTCTATTCTTGTTAACATACAAATTGTCCATTGTTTTCCTTTTATTCGTCAAACTGTCCAATAGGGTATCTATATCACGGTCATTACTCGATAAGTTATCTGACAAGGACTCAAATCTTTCAGAACTTTCCTTCTTATATTTTTCGAATTGTGAAGTCAAATTATGAATTTCTTTCTGGTAATGTTTTTTATACTCCACTTGAGAGGCCAACAAAGCATCATAAGCAATTTTTAATCTCTCATATTCAGCAGTTGATAAGGCAGACGATTCCTGTAAATTTTCACATCGGATCTTCATGTTTTTATTGTTCAACAGCAAAGTCTCATTGCTTGAATTTAAATCGTTATACTGTTCTTCCAAATCGGCTACTCGTCTTTCTTTTCGCTTCAATAATGCATTCACCATATCGTTTTCGTGCTTTGCATTTGCCAATTGATCCACGTATGATTCGTTTTTCTTGCTTTCAACTAGGTGTTTCTTTTTGTACTCTTCCTTTGCCAGCCGAGCTATTTCAAGCTCATTTTTCAATTCATCTATTTCACTATGCAAGGAGTCAATCACCCGTGAGGTGGGCTTTCTGCTATCCTCCATTGCAGATTAAAGGAATGAAGATGAAATAAACGAGAAAAAAAAAAATTGTAGTTCTTTGTGATCTTGTGCAACCAACGAGCGTGATAGTGATCTTTATTAGTCTCTTGCTTTGTGGGCCCTGTTATATCTTATAACTCGAAAGATAGCTCTTGGTACTTCTCTATAAGCTAGTGACAAAATCAGTCAGATAAATAAATAAAAAGAAAAAAGACAGAAATGCTGATAAACGGCAACACTACGTCTAACGGGGTTTATTTGCAAACAAAAACAAATAATGTCGCAGCGTCCACAACCGACATTTGTTTTCTCGTCTATTTTATTAGACATTAAAAATAGGTCGTACCCGGATTCGAACCGGGGTTGTTCGGATCAAAACCGAAAGTGATAACCACTACACTATACAACCTTATTTCAGTTTGTGTAAGTAGCCGGTCTTATAAGTACACACAATTTTAAGAGTATTGTAAGCTCGAAATATTTTCCAAGTAGAAGATTTCATTTTAGGTAGTAGCACACTATACATGAGGTTAGAGTAGCCAAATGTATTATAGAAAATCGCCTAAGTACGATAGGGGCACTATTCAAACAATCCATAAATCCTCGCAATTAGTCTGTGAGTCAAGTATAACAATAGAATTACTATGTAAACTTAAGTAAAAGTTGCATATCGCTTTATAGGAATTTTAAACGAAGACGACAAGCCCTAGACCAGTTGACTTTCTTCTTTTTTATACTCTCAGAAACACTTTCACAAATACTTCTGTTACCTGACATAAATAAAACAATCTTCTGAGCCGCTACATCGCTTTGTTTCAGAGCCAGTGACGTAGTTCCTGCCATTGTCTACTGTACTATGGAGCTTTCTATGTGACAGTCATATAAACTTTGCTTTTTTGCTGAGTATTCAAGATACAAGAATACATATATTCTTCTTTTATCCAACATGGTATCGCCACAATTCTAGATCTATGTCAGGAAATCGTTGTTTATCTGGCTTGATATAGTTTCCACTTCTATGAAGCGCTCTTTCCACACATCGTGGTACCCAGCATGAACATATATCATCAGTATAATTAAGGAGTAAAGGAAGAGGGCCGTAAACTTTGTGGCCTGCTCCTGTCTGGTTTGCCTCTTTTTCTACATGCCGGTATGTTTTATCATTAATAATTTCTTCATAGTCATCTTTGTCGGTCCAGTTGAATACCTCGGCACCATATAAATGAAGTTTCCTCTTAACAACTCTTTCATATTCTTCATCGTCATCAATATTGCCGTCAGTCAAACGCGGGTTGTAAACATGTAAATGGTCATACTCATCAATGGCAAAATGAAATTCTTCCGCAGAGCTGCCCATCAAGTTAAATACACCAGATACTAAGTCACGATTTATTGCCTTATAATCGATGGCGTCTACAATTTGTTTCCTTTCATTAGGGTCTGGCTCACTGTAAGAATACAGTGCACATCCCAAGAATTTTTTGTTAATTAGATCTTCGTCCTCACGGTTCATAATTAAAAGCAATTGAAAGTAATGATATGGAAGCTTTTAATAGGTCATATTAATCCCTGAATGTTATAAATGAATAGCTTATAATGAATATGACTCATTTGTAACGTGACTGTTTATGTTGTGTCATCACTTAGCTTTAGATGGGAACGCACAAATTAGCTTTATCTATATGTACTCTTATATCAGGTGTAAGGGTTTTTTGGAATTTATTCAATTAACGATCAAACGTTCCAACGTGTATACTCACTCTAGCTACTCACAAGGCTCTATTTCCCCATTCCATGATAATACTTAGACGATACTAATCTTAACTGACAGTATTTGTATTTTATAAAATGAAATAGCATACTTTATTAAAGGTTGTAGGAATTTAACTCTGATACATAGCTTTTCTCCACCGAATTGGGTGAATTTTTCATTCGCTTGGTTATCGGATCCACTTCTTCTTCCCCCTGGATTTGGATCTTTAAATCTTTAATAATCTCATCGGCTTGATGAGTATTATATGATAATTTATTATTCTTATGATAGGAAAGATGAGAGAAGTTGCCGAACCTCCTAAGATGTTAGGATTCTGTTTGCATGCGCTTTTAATTTCGAGGTAATATCTCCTTAAAGCATTAAGTGACTTGGACTATGTACAGGACATAGATAAAATCAATCTCAAATCAAAAAATAGTATAGATAACTATCTCTTAGTATGCCATGTATGTATTTCTCAGGGGAAGAGAGCAAGGAAATAGCTTTCGATGATCCTGCCAGTGAGTGCATCAGGATCAACCCAGCACTTTTTACAAAGGTACAGAACGATAATGAGCAAAATGCCAGGGTCTTATTAGACACTCATTTATTAAGGATCCGTAATTATATACCAGCAGATGAACTATCTCTGGAGAAAATAGAAAGAATAGTACCCAAGAGTGATGCGTCAGTATCGGTTGAAACAAGGGCATCCATACCGCTCCTTAACTTTGTAACTAATCTAATGACTACAGCAGACTTTAAGGAGATGACTTCTGATGAATTCAAAACTAGCTACCTCGCTCCACTTGAAAATGCCCTTAAAGGATCTCATATCAGTACTCGCTTATTATCGCAGGATTATAGATATCCATTTGGAGATGCTACAAATGTGGAAGGTGATATCCAGGAATACTTTGATCAAAAAATAGCGGATTCGA